GTCGTCCTGTATTGAAAATCTCAGCCGCGAGGATGCCGCCGACGTCGCACTCACGACGCCGCCAAAGCAGCCGCCGACGTGATCCTGGAAGCCGCCTTTTTTTTTTTTTTTTAACTCTGCTCGTCTTGGCTTTAGCCAACTTCTCATCACGAATCCTCCTTGGTGAAGCGCAAAGACTCTGCGTACGCACGCTATTTCCGAGAAATAGCGCTCGCTAAAATTGTGCACGCAAAGCGCAAAACATAGAGATCATACATATTAGTTCATGACGCGTGTCGGCGCAACAGCTGAACCAGGGTTGCCATTTTTGTGTGCTTTCAGCTGTTTCAGCCATAGAGATCATACATACTAACCCTAGAGGAAAAGGTCCGCCATTTTCCCATACATTCTGGCTGCCGCAAGCGGCGGATCATGCAGGCAGACCCTCGGGGTCCCAAACACGGTTACATCATCAGAGCAGTTTCGTGAACTTCAACAATCCACGAACTTACCGGTGGAAAGATATTCGCGTTCCTTTCGAAGCTTTCTTTTTGCATAGCGCGCAGATGTACGGCCTCGCGTTAACGCTAAACTAAACCATATACCCGGCTTCGCCGGTGGGGCAGGTGGGGCGCGGGTGGGCGCGGTTGAGGAATACGAAACTGCGCAACCAACAGATTTCCGAGATTTCGACAGAAGGGAAGTTAATGCAGCGTAATGACTTTATTGCTTTTTATAAGCGTTAGAATAGCTCAGATTTTAGTTTACAACGTTAAATTATCACTGTTTATATTGCTGAGAGTTTTCACTCTTCGCGTTTACCATGGCAACGTTGCTTTCTTTCTCTCGTGTTCTGTCGCTCTCTTTTGCGATCGTTCACTCGGGACCCCGGGTGTCGGCGCACGGGATTTGCCACTCCTCCTCACCCACCTTTACTTGCCTTTACCAATTGCCTTTACCCCCTGGCGCAAAACCTGGTTTGCGTTCGGAGCGTGCGCAGTGGCGACGACGCTATTTTTTGCGCACGCAAAGCTTTAGCGTGCGCTATTCTAAAACTCCCTAGTGGCGACCATTGAATCTAGCCTTCTGCACGAATCATGCCCGGGATATTTTCATTTTCCTTCCACGCGCTTAAAAGGCAATACGTTGGGGGAATTTATGTGCACTAACATGCTGCTTCTAAAAGAAAGTACCAGATTTCTAGTGCATGTCAATCTGGTCAATCTACATGTAAATAGTTTAATCAGTGTGCACAAACATGCGCGGCCTGGAGGATGACATGCTTGATGGCTGGAAATAGAAGTCTCTATTGGATTGCACTGGTGTGAAAAATTATTACGTGTTTTTGTTTTTCTTCTGTGCGAAAATAAAAACAGCGTTTAGAAACCGAACACTGTGCGTTTTGAGGAGCGCCGGAAGGACATAGAAAAACCGGGACAACCTGAACAATACGAGGCGCCTTGCGTCACTCAGTTTTTCCTGGTTTCTTGTTTTTCCGGAGCCTTTCAAAAGGGGATGAAAAATTATGAACCGATTGGCCCGATTTGCCACATTAGAGCGGTTGTTTTTCATTACGACAGGCTCTCTTACCGCTCATTCACTCTGGAAGCGGATCCGCGTTCGCAAAGCGGTTGCGAACGCGGTTGTATAAAGACCCAGTACAATTGCACGCGCACTTGATGTCATCGAGTGCGCGTGGAATTGCACTAGATCTTCATACAACCGCGTTCGCAACCGCTTTGCGAACGCGGATCCGCTTCCAGTGTGAATGAGCGGTTAGAGCGTTTTGCATAGTTCAGCTTGTAGTGGTCCGTTTTTATTTTCGGTTCCTTTCAACCTACAACATCCAAAATTTACGGAAGTGGAGAAGTGGTTGGGAGGGCCAAGCGGGCAAGGGTTGCATGCCTCTCGAACCACCGTCCGTTACCTTTGTTTAGTGCATGGCTGGGCTTTGCGAGCAGAATGCGAGCTTGCTCGAGTAACTTGGATCCGTTCAGAAGATAAACCCCTCTAAACGACAATCTCCGCCGCCCGGGAAGAACGTAAGCGGGCAAACGAGACGCCTCTGGGTTTTGCGTCACGCCTGTATTTAAGGGGTTACTGGTTACTGTTACTGTTACTGGTTACTGTACAGAGTTACTGGTTCCCGACACCATGCACGATTGACGGCTCCGCCCGCGTTTTTGATTGTATATTGATACGGAAAAGGAGGAGAAGAGCGCGACGGCCCGCGGCCGTTGTGCGTTCTGGATCGCGCTCTGGCGAGCAATCAGATTAAAAACCTACCGCTGAAAACTACCTCGTGTACATAGTCGAAAACATGATAAGCATCGAATGGGAGTGAACGTAGATGTATAATGATCCAATACAAAGTTTCGCTTGATTTCTAAACGAATAATGCCCATAGCCAAGTACACCTTCACATCAATTGTTAGACAGAATTGAAAAGAAGATTGTGTGTTTCTTGAAAGAGATTTCGGCCCCCTTCTATCTAGTGCGCTTTTCTATAGGTCTCAAATAACGTGGGCGAATTATTCAACATGATTGTAAACCTGAGACAGGGGCAGAAAGAGAACACAACAGAGCTGAGTTTGAGACGTTGCCTCCTCTTTTACTACCTCCTGTTGTGTTCTCTTTCTGCCCCAGTCTCAGGTTTACAATCATGTTCAACTTACACCAGCTCGCCTGCACTCTGACTATTTTTCTCGAATTATTCATTTTGTTGAATTTCCACCTCTCCGCTTTCGCAGATTATGATGTGGTAGTTTGGTCCAGTGGCTTAGAGCTCACGTTTTGAAAGGAACCGAAAATAAAAACGGACCAATACAAGCTGAACTATGCAAGACGCTCTAAGAGAGCCTGTCGTAATGAAAATTAACTGCTCTAATGTGGCAAGTCGGGTCAATCGGTTCATAATTTTTCATCCCCTTTTGAAAAACTCCGGAAAAACAAGCAACCAGGAAAAGCTGAGTGACGCAAGGCGCCTCGTATTGTTCAGGTTGTCACGGTTTTTTTATGCCCTTTCGGCGCTCCTCATACGCACAGGGTTCGGTTTCTAAACGCTGTTTTTATTTTGGCACGGAAAAAAGACAAAAATACGTAATAGTTCTTCACACCAGTGCAATGCAACACTTCTATTTTCAGCAAGCTGCTTTCCGCCATGCTTCCATGTCATCGTCCAGGCCGCGAATGTTCGTGCACAGTGATTAAACTATTTACATCTGAATTGACATGCACTATAAATCTGGTACTTTCTTTTAGAAGCAGCATGTTAATGCACATGAATTCTCCTAGCGTCTTTCCTTCTAATCGCGTGGAAGGAAAAGGGAAATATCCCGGGCATGATTTGTGTAAAAGGCTAGGTTCAATGGTCGCCTATTATTTGTACAAACTCCCTGGCAAATTCACTACCATATAACCTGCTGTCGTTTCTCCAAGAAGCGTGGTTTTGGTAGAATTTCGTTGCTCGGCCGCTATTTTTTGTAGTGGCGCGAAAAGAGAGAGAGAGAGAGAGAGAGAGATAAAAGCAACAACTTCGCAAACTGATTTTTTTTTTTGCCATTGCGATATTTTGTTGTGTTTAGGTACGCTTTTGTGGAGTAAACAATTTTACGCACCTCCCACAAATATTTTATTGTCTACGACAGTTGTAAAGTATTACGCACTGCCTCGGGTGCTTTGACCCCTTTGACCTTACGCACTAGAGCGTCACAGGAGCGAGTATTTCAGCAAAATTGGAATCGACCAGTTTTTGTGGTATCACGACGAACACACTTTTACCATGAAATCGTAACAAATAATGATCGATGATGAAATTGATTGGGTCCCAACAGTAGAGCCAGATTATTTAGGTTGCAAATAAACTGGGCGTCGCTCATGCGATATGTTTACTTCCACGTTCGAAGGTGTTGACGATAGGAGCCGAAAAGCGCGGTCTGAAGGCTCCTTCCTGGAGTGACTCCCCAACTCGGGAAAGGGGGGGGGGGGGGGGGGGGAGGTGGAGAGAGAGAAAGGGGTGGATGTTGATGGAAGGTGATATTTATTCTCACTCAGGAGAGTCGCCGGTCGTTAAAACGTCGACTCGCTGATAACGGGAAAGCCTGTGGGGCCACATTTGTAGTAACCATGAGTAAAATGTGGTATACAGCTATGTTACTAAGAAGTTGCGATAGTGCAAACGATAGGGCGTTGTGGAGGCAAGTGAAGCAAAGACCTATGGTCACTCATGGTCTTAATTAGAAGCAAGGATTTCGGTTTGCTTCTTCAACCGCTCTTGACGCCAATCTTTCCAATCTTGGATAAACCCGGGACAGCGTTAATGGCGCAAGCCCGCGCCAATATTTAAAGGTCTTTATCAAGTAATAAAACAAACATCCAGCAGAGGTAAGGAGGAATAAATACGCAAAAGACTGCAAAATGAAATAAACAACCTATGAGAGGAGATGTGTTTCAAACAGTAAAGAAGAGATTAGGAAAAGCCACTTGATTTATAAGTTTCGAAAATAAATGTATTATCAACGACCTGAACCCTTTATTGCGCAAGCCAATCCTTGTGCAGACACGGGAATGGTTCCAGCAGCCGCGCGATGCCAGAAAGCGGCTACTGGAACGAACCCCGCATACCACGACCCCTCGATCTCCACCGACCACGCGGCCTCGAACCTGCAGCTCATGGGGAAAAGCGTTCGGCCGCGCTGGCTTCAATCTCGCGGATTGAGCGTACCGGCGTCAACGAGGGAAGACACCTGGACGTCTCAAGGTAGTTGTGGCGCTCGCAGCTAGCGGCTCATTTCGCGGTTTCTGAGGATTATCCCTACAGAAAAAGCCGACACAAAAGAAGCCCCTGCCGTCACGTGATTTTTGGGAGAGGGTGAAAAGAAGAGGGTGCGAGGGGCATTTTCCTACCTTGCGGAAAATGGTTTCGTTGGTCGGTCTTTAAGGCGAAGACCTGCTTAGAAACATGGTCTTGCTCCCAGTTCCCAGTTTACAAGAGAGGATACTAAACACAAAACCAGAAAAAATGTAAGAACACTCCCTTTACTTTATTTAAATGTGGAATGACAATGATCCCCCCAAAAACAGAATACATAACACTTTTTCCCAACAAGCGCTCGCGCAGACAGACACCCCGCACCCTTTTTGTCTCTGCGCCCCCATGCACACGCCCAGTCGTACGAGAGGAAAGGGGGGAGAGAGAGAGAGACTAGAGGGAGGCTGTGAGAGAGTGCATCTTGTCGGCCAGCTCTTCCTTTTTCCTCTGGATGGCGGCCTCGGCCTCCACAAACTGTTGCTTGCTCATCTTGCCGCCCATCAGCTTGTCCAGCAGCACTATCTGTTGCTGGAACTGCTCCTTCAAGTGCTTGTCCAGCCGCTGGAGCTCGCTCACCTGGGAAGCGTTGCCGGTGTTACCGACCGAACAATTCGTCCGAGGTATTTCGTAGCGCGTGGTTAATTTGCCGACGTATGCGGCTGCCGCGCGGAGGAACGGGTTTGAATCCCACGCAAACCCTACTCGACCCGGATCTTTACTTATAATTCCATACTTTTCTGGAAAGTTCCAGAAGGCAGAAAGCTTCTCTTTGCCATTCACAACTTGTCAGTGACAATACGATGAGTATTTTTAGTACACCAGCACCTAGATACCTGTACTAGCATTGCACGCTTGCCTCAACAATACTGTAAGAGTGATTCGGGTTTGTATTGTTGATACACGCTCCGAGAAGTTGGTATAACGGGGCTGCCAATGCAGAAAAGAAAAAAATACTGTTTAGGCAATTTCAATGAGTGGTTGAATGCAGTGAGAAACCAGTCGAGGCAAAGCAAAACCAGTGCAGGATGCGTGCAAGTACGCTGAAGGGCACAAATGCAGTGATGTGATTGGTCGAGTCACTCTGGAGCAGCAAAAATAATTTTTGGAGCAGCAAAAATAATTCTTCCATTTTCATAAAATGTAACTGCATGCAGCAGGCTAAGTGCTTTGGCGTAAATGGCGCAGCAATCGTATCACTGCAAATGCTTTCCCCCCATATAAACGTTAACTCCACGCGGTGACGTTTCAGTCCACTACTCTCAGTTCTATAATCATAGGGGTTACCGCATGCCGTGCCATCAATGTCGGCGTTTATGCTCGGCGATGGTTCAATCCACGGCAGAGCAAAACGCTAGCACTCAAGGTTCCCGACGACATCATATCAAAGGCTCGGCATGACGCATTTCCGAATCGCGTCTGCTCTGCACTGCGAACAAAATAGCGGTGCCAGCAAGCAGGGGCGGATGCAGGAATTTCCTGAGGGGGGGGGGGGGTCAGGCGTTGGTCAGCGTACCATATGTTTCAGAACCCCTCCCCCTCTCCCTCTTTTCACGCCCTAAATTTTACACATGCAAAAATCAAGAGGGGGGTCAGGACATCCAGACCCCCCCTTTAAATTCGCCCCTGCCTGCAAGACAACCGAGAAACAGAGTATTGAGACTTCAAACGTAGCTTAGTTAGTGGCTCGGATTCACGCCACAGGTGTAAACCATCTTTCAATACGGTCTCTCGGCCACTTCGCGGCACTCAACCCATTCTAGGCACCGCAACTTTGCCACTCCAAAGACATTCCGCGATCCAAAAGAAACAGACGCGAGGGGGAGCGGACAGCGGGGTCGGACTCACCGCCTCGGCAGCCTCGGCACCCTCCTGCTTGAGCTTGGCGAGGCAGTCGGCCAGGGACTGGGTGTGGATCTTGTGCTCTCCGTTGAGCCTCTTCACGGCCGCCTGGTACCCCACGCTGTCCTTGCTCGCCTTGTACTTGCCCAGGGCGGCATCATACTGGGCGTACACGTCCGCCCTCCGGTCTTGCAGCGAGGCCACCTTCTCCAGCAGGCCTCCCACCTGAAGCTTGCTCTCTTGGGCTGGATCCTGCGGGCACAAGGTGCACGATCAGGCTTTCCCCTTTCCTCGAGCTGCACCGACCTCGAACGCGAGGCCCGCATTGTGCTAGAGTAACAAAATAGGGTGGAGCCAGAGTTCCACTAACTTCTTAAAGGGGCGGTGCAACGATTTTACGATTAAAAGAATTTGCATCTCGTCATTTTTACGTTGTTTATCGTGTCCCGGAGGGTAGAGAAAACACCTCCTTAATTAAAAATGTCGCAATTCCGCTGCATAATCGCAAAGCAAAAGTCGAGCTTTTTCCCCCACCTGCAGCCCCAAGTGGCAGCCGAAGGAACTACGACGAAAAGATTACGTGACCTCGCTCGGCTCTAAGCTGCAGCATAACACCCGCTAATGTCAGCGGAGAGAGGGAGAGGAAGCGTCCTCCGAGCGAGCACACGGGAAGCTACACGGCACTCCGAATGACGTCACTAGGAGGGGGACCAGGTGTGACTTTGAAGGCTGGGAGTGAGTTGAGGGGTGCCCGAAATGCCAATCTTTATCTTTTTTTTTACGCAACAACTAGGACATGCAGGCGAAATCTGTTTTTTGTTCTTTACTTCAGAAGTGTCAGAGGGCAACTTCCAGATATCATCGACCGAAGTCCGGAAATCGTTGCACCCCCCCTTTAATGGCAGAAGCTATAGGAGTGGTCGCGTCAATGATAACTCTAAAAGTACCACGGGCAAGCAGCCTTACGGAGCTCAGACTTTTGGGCGAAACACATTTTTTGCTTGGCACTTGTGAAGTTTGCATCTTACACCGAATCTGACAGGCTGGCAGCTCCTTCAATATTTGTACATTGTGTGTACCTGGGGTTGTGTGTGTTGAGTTTTCGCCCGTCGGTTGTCCGGAGAAAGGGCCAAGTCACGATGGAGACTTGTTTATTTTTCAAATCGTGTACGGTGGCTTACACTGCCGTGGCTGAACTGTCCCGTTCCCTTGCCACGCGCCTCGTTTGTTCCTCACGAGTCTACCACATCATCACCAGTTCCCCAAGTTTGCAAATCCCCGCAGTGTATACTAGAGTGTAATTACATTTTTATAGTATAAGCTATTTTTGAAAGCACCCGTGAAACAACTTGCTCTGTAAAGTAAATGGAGCTGGGCATCTGACATCTCTCTCCATTATGCACTATTGTTCCTCTAGTACTATAGATCACAGACCGCCGGTGACAGAAACTATGCAGATATAGATGAACTTTTAAGTTAACCTTTGTGACTCATGAGAATGACAGTGTTGTAAGACTGTAAGACTTACAATGTAAGACTGCAACAGAAGAGTGTGAAAGTTTCCATTTTTTTAAGCAGATCCAGTAGAGTTGAGGTTGTGCCTTTTCATAAAGAGCGCTTCTCAGGTGGCAGAACCCCTAAAGGCCTGGGTCATACTATTGTGCCTTCTCATCAATGCCAAAATGACGACTGGGGGGGTCTAGTGGCACACCAACAACAAAGGCTGTACTGCACAGTCCAGGCCAAGAAAGCAAAGCTCCCCACACTTATTGCTGACCTTGCTGATGGTGAAGTCCAGCCTGACATAGATGACCACAAGAAGGAAGAGCAGGTAGAGGACCACCACCACCAGCAGTGGCTCCTGAAGCATCAGCAGCTTCTTGTACTTGTAGTGCACCTGCAGCAAACGAAACATAGACAAGAAAAAGTGTATCAGACAGATGCACAGCAAAGCGCACGTTGAAGTCACAACAGACACAAACAGTCACCTCAAAGTTCTGGATGTGCTGTTCCACGAGGTTCGACTTTTCAAGGACAATGACGGGACGTCCGACGGTGTCCAGGTAAGTGTAGTGACGACGGTCGTCGAGCCGCGTCACTGGGAATGGTGTCTTGAGCTTGATGTCCCTGAAGAGATCATAAAGTATGTACACACATACACTCTACTTAAAGGCCGACGTATACTTTGCGCTTTCCACTTTTCCCTGCCTCCTCCTTTCCTATATCTTCACTTTTCACCTAGCCCAAACTTGGTTCCCTCGCAGCTTAGGCGAGGATTGCACTAAGAGGATTATCTTCCCTGCAGAAAAACGAGGCCGTACGTCGGCCTTTAAGCAAGTGCCTACTTCTCCAGTTTGATCGCAATTGTCAGAATATTTTACAAAAATGAATTTATGATCCAAAAGATCCAGTTATATTTTCGACTACATGCGCTTAAAGGAGATATTTCGTGTGTTTCTACTTATGGAACAGAGTGCCAATTAACGCGGATTGAATGTTTTGACTCCTAACTTTTGAACAATCAACATTGTTCAAAACGTGGGAGTTAAAAAGCTACCGTAGAATACCGTGCATCCGCCCATTCCACATGAAGTGCCCATTCCCAAATTTGTAAGATCTGAGAAAATACGTACAGTACATTTATATGTAAAATTGATGACCGGAAAAGCGCCTGTTCCCCATTTTGTTGCGATTATCTCCCGGTATTTTACGGTAGTATCAAGGCTGTTGACAAGTGTTAGACGAAGTGAGAAACTTCAATGTAACCTACCCCTTAGCATAATCAGATACAAGTTAAAACTGTGCCGAGAAGCGTTGCGCATGACGGAAGGCCACAAATGTGCGCTGAAGATGGAGCTTCTGGTGCATTCTTAACCGAATATAGAAAGTTAAATTCAACCTTTAAAGTGCCGGCTTCGTGAGGGATAAAGTGTCTGAGCCAAATCTCTGCATCGAAGTATATTTCGACGCAAATATAATGTCAGATTCTTCTCAATGTCGCCTATATGCCAAATGCAGATGCTAGATGTATGCATGGCCCTATTAAATATAAGCTTTGACACCTGCACATTCACAGCAGTGACCTGCCTCCCTTTTGCAATATTATGACGCCCGTAGGGACTTTAAGGCTCTATTAAATGATGATGAAGATATTCAGTGCAGAAAATCTGGAATCTGGAGGCAACGCACCTGGCACCCTCGGGCAGGATGATCCTGACAGATGCCTTGTCAATAACGCTGTCGTCAAAGATGTGGTCGACGAAACGCATCTGCAGAACATAGTTGTCACCTGCAAAAAGATTTCCAACAGAAAAAAAAAAAAATGGGAAAGGCAGCCAGTTATAGGACTTTTAGTTTCAGCTGGAGAATAGAGGAACATTCACCAGTTGAGAAACTTAAAATGGGGCTACCTTGCACGAGTTTCATGTCCTTATAACAAAACATAATCCAAATGTGTTCCTCTGTGCAGTGCTCCAAGGAACTAGTGCAACCTATATATAATGGTAGAGTCACTCTCTTCAGGAAGGCTACCATATCAGTAATATCTTAAAAAATAACACTGAAATTGAAAAGATATTTTTTTACAGCATCAGCTGTATTGAGCTCGTACAGGGCGAGCGCCATGTCGCCGAAATCCAACGGAGCATGCACGCGCTTATCGCAGTTGGCTTTGGTGCCGTGAGAGGGCGCTGCCTGTTCTTTCTCGCCTTCAGTTGCCCATCTGCTTGTTCTAACCAGGGGTGTTAGGATGGAATGCATTTGACGTCAAGATCATGCTGCACATGAACATGAAGCGGAACGTAGAAGAGAATATTACCGAGCAAATAATGGCCATGCTGGTGCGACCAGGCAATTTGCGCAGCGCATCCACGAGGACGTGTTTGGTACTAGCTGTTCGGCATGTGACCGATCTTGGCTTACACGAGACGTATAGTGTCTTTGCCAATGCATTGCCACGAGGTTCTTCAGTCGTTGTACACGGCCAGTGGCCTGACGGCATTCAAGGTGTGTGCTACGTGCCTATGTAGTGTTTGTGCCTGCGAGATCCCAAATCTCGTGCGTGCTATGGGCACGTACACCCGCCGATGCGAGAGGGTCTGCCTTGATTGAATCTCATGGCCGAGCGTTCAATATCCACTCGGCTCTCTAAGCCTTTCGTGCAAAAAAAAAAAGGGGGGGGGCCAAAGCATATGCTGGAGCAAGCAGAGGCTGCTCTACGGCGTAAATGCGCTCATGACAGAAAATGTCTATGTGTAGGCGCCGACGGTCTCGCCCTGTGTGCGAGGAGGGAGTGCATCCCACTAAGTTCATGAGAATGTGTTTGGTGCTAGCTGTTCTGTGCATGATCAACTGTGGCTTACGCGGTGACACAGCGCGCAGCACTATTACCCGAATTTCCAGTCAATCACGACGCAATATTATTGCAGAGTCGCACCAGCTGACGCCGTCTATTCACGTCACATCGCACAATCATCCGCACAATTTCATCGAGGTTCTACTACATGCACTACGTCGTGCACACGGGGTAAATCTTTCCTTCGCTTGATCTTACCGTTACGTCTGTACTGGAGCTTTTGCCCACAACCACCAGAATATACCGTCTCAACAGGACAAGTCGCGCATGTCAAATAGCAACAAAAACATACTAGTACTACATATTGAATTAAAAGTGATTGTGAAAGAACACTCCGAAATGTAATCCAAGCAAGAGCTTGCCTGAGTTGTACAGGTACTCGTAGGTGGGAACGTAGTAGCCCAGCACGTAGTGAGTCTTCCAACCGCCAAACAAGGGGAAGCGAGGACGTATGTCGAGCTCCACCGAGTCGTCGAGGACCTTCATGTGGCTAGTTGAGATGTTGCCGATCTCGTCCCGGTAGTAGACGTCCATCGCCGATGCGGGCAGCACAGTCTGGAAGAGGGGGGAAAGCTTTCAGATTCTGCTACACATGTGGTAATATCCCATTTTGCATATTCTGATGAACCGCCTATATTAAATAACCGCCGCAACAGGTTTCAAAAATGAGGCTGGCAGATATGGAACACTTGCCACAAGATGTTCAGGTTTTGGGGAATAACATCTGCCAAGAAACGGGTCGCACGGTCGACATCAGGATGAGAATGTTAAGGGTGTTATATAAAGCAAAACTGCCAAAAAAGGATAAACAACACAAAGAAGGCAATTGACAGGAAAAGTGTGTTAAAGCACTGCACATCAGAGGGTATGGGGGGGCAAAAGTTTGTGCTGCAGAACACTAATGCATATTAAGGACACAAGGTCAGCAGGCTGCATTGGCTAAATGGCCCTTCTACAACATTGAACCAGTATCGCCATATCTCAAGGACAGATCGACGTCTTGTTCTATAATGTACATTACAAACATTAACAATGCTCAGTTTGCTTCTTTTTTTTTTTTTTACAAGCAGTTAATGTTAGAAGGCAATATCGCCAACTGCATTTCAACTGCATCAGAAGCTTGATTCTCAACCTTGAATGCTGTCGTTTCCCGAGCTAGTCAAGTTGCCTCCAGATATGGCGCTATACGTCACCACTGCAGGGTGGCAATTTGGCCAGGGTAATCCGGCTACAAACTTGAGCGAGTTAGTGACCATCACACAGTAAGTGGTCCTACAGCAAACAGTAGTACAACAGCTGACAATAATGAAGCCGGCCAAGAAGGGAAATGAAGTATGGACTTTCAGCCTCCAAAACATTTTCTTCAGATGCTCCAAGCCGTAGTGCGTTAAAGCCCTTGACCACCACACCCACAGCTCAAACCAAGAATGGGGTTCTAGAAACGCTATATCTAAACTCAGGAATGGGCTTTGTGAATAATGAACGACCATATGTGCGTTTGTCGGTTGTTTTGGAACGACTGTCAATGTCATCCGTCACCATCACCACTATCAGCAAAGTGGGCGGCTGAGCACGGCTACCGGTGCAAAGCACTCTTTGTGCAGATGGCTACAAAGGATAATAAAAGGGGCCGACGCTATTACGAGGGATGGTGCTCTTAACTAGTTGTGTCAAAAAAGCGGTGATGCAATGTTCATGCTAACTGTAGTGCAGATGTGCACAGACTTATAAACTGCTTTGGTTACAAAGTGCATATCCCAAACTGGAGCATTCAATGCGAAGCACAGCACACGTCTGTCTCTATCTCTTTCCAGGACAGTCGAGAGTATTCACCCTGAAGGATTTGACCGAGGACACGCCGTTCTGGTCGCGCTGGTACTCGTAGCGTGAGAAGGATCCCTTGAGGATGGCTCCCGTGTGGCGGAGATCGATAACCTCTTCCACAGAGATGACCCCCCAGTGGGACACCTCAATGGCTCGCTCCAGGCTGGTCACCGTCAGGAAGGCATTGTTGTTCTCATAGTGCACTGTCATCTTGTCCTGCGGGTTCGAAAGAGAGCAACACGCTAAGCTTTGCTGGTGCCCACAAGACTCAATACAGCAACGGCGTGTGGCGAGAAGAGCCCATTTCAATTTGTACGGTGAATTTTAAAAAGCTCAAAGATTAAATGTTGATGCTTCACAAACTGCCAATTCCCAAAGCAAATTCTTTTACTGCATGCTTAGCTATCTACACAAATTATGCTCTCAACTCCCACTTCGAATATTAGCTAGTACATACATTTATACATGCGTTTCCAGAGATACAAAATGGGCTAAGCAAGGTAGCTGGCATTCATTTTTGTGAAAGATTGGAGCTGCAAATTCCTTTTTTACTACAATGCTTGTGTTGAAATGCAAGCCTAAAGGTTAAAACCTCAAAGCATAGAGAACTCTCACTTTGAGTACACCAAGATATTTCTTGACGCTGTTCAAAATAGAAAGATGAACGTGAACAGCGGTCCAGATCCCTTGCCGCTAGCAAAGACTGGCATTTCATATATAGGTCTGGCTGCCAAACTGTCAAACCCCCAAATCAGTTTTATTAATAACACAAGGAAAATGACTAGGTATAGTCATTATCAACTAACAAAATCCAGCAGCAGGCACATACTTATGCCTAGGCAATTTACGTGCTTGCCTAAGACCATGGAAGCAGAGTAACTATGATGGTGCAATTACTGTAAAATCCCGAGAGATGCCCCACCCCTGAAAGGTACAGTATTTACTCGAGTAATAGCCGCACTGTTTATGAAGAAAGCCTGAGGGTTCGCCTTTTTGCGGAGCACACAGATTGCCAATCACCGCGTTCAACAGCATGATTCCAGCTGTTTACAGGACAGAGATAACGTCTTTGTGACAAGATACCACCTATAAAGACTGAATTTGTATGGAGAATCATATTCTCGATCTGGTTATTCACTATGTTACGCGCAACGCAATGATTGGTTGTATATGTGTTCTGTGAAAAAGAAGAAGCAAGGGCCTTGTTCATAAATAGTGCAGCTATTACTCGAGTAAATACGGTAACCCACCCTTATTTCCAACTTGATTTTCTCTTCTATTTTAAACACCAAAAGATAGCCCACTCCTAGTAATCATAGAGTTCGAATCAATGATGACCTCGGCATAAATGCGTCTAGTTAGCTATGACAGGATCTAAGTGAACATTGCTGAATGGGAAGTACAGTCATCTTTGCTTCCTTGCCCCTTTCCACAATCACAAGCTTGGAAGGGACACAACCTAAAAATGGCAATTTTTTAACTATTCTTGATTGCACACCAAAAGTTAGCCCGCTCCTTATTTTCACCTAATTTTCTCTAGATTTTCGGTGGGGATTTTACGGTAACATATCCTCAACAAAATAAATATAACTCGCATTGCAAAAATATTGACACATCTGAATAGACCTCTCCAAAAATATAAGCACCCCACCCCCCTTTCCCACTGCCAACACATGACAACTTGATGTACTCTGTATGATACACATGAATGGAAAAGGAAGTTCATAATGTTTAACATTTTGGGATTTCAGAATGCAAAGACAGGACACGAACAGAACACAGCATGTGTCGACCTTGCTTTGTGTTAATTTAATTTTTCACACGTTCTGAGCTCAATAATAAAAAGAATGAATTGTGCCGCTTTTAGGCAATGTGATGCAGCGGAGTTGGCCCAAGAGTAAATCGAGACAGCCCTACAATTTCCCGCACTGCGCAGTGCCATGTTAAGTAACTGTGAAGTCTTCTGAAATTTTCCCGGAAGGGTCTATCAAGTACGTACGGTTCATAGCATGCAACGTTCTGATTACTCATTGAAAACAAACCGAGGTAGAAACAAAATGGCAGCTAACCCACAGCAGCAAGGAAGATGCAAGAGATCTGCACTAACCTCAGAAAGAGGCTGAACTTTCTCGTAGGGCCCATAGGTGACCGTAGACTCCGACTGGCTGGCAGGCTTGAGCTTCGAGTATGACTCGATCTTGGAGCTAGGCAGCGTCACGCGTGTCGTCTGAGACTGCGTCGGGTACAAGCTGAGGAAGTAGTGATTCCCCTGGTAGAGCACCAGCTGCCGTTCCGCCTGAGTGATGTGCGTCGGGTGAGGGGTGACCAGGTGGCTGAACGTCGCCTCCAGCTCCAGCTTCACCGACTTGCCAGCTGCCAAAGGTGTTGGCAGATCCACACGGTAGTGGTGATGTGTCCTGGGACGAAATTCAGAGTTTAGTTAACAATTACGTCCATACCACAAGCAAATAACTATGCTTTCTTTTTGACTGCAGTAAAAGGAAATATAGGATCCTTTGCCTACTCGTCCGTCAAGCTCGGCACTCTCTGTCTGCCTCAGCGCGGCGCCATTTTTGCGACAATTATTTCTCAGGGTCTGGCAGTTTCTTTCTTGAAGGCATTGTGAAGATCAGGTCACTGTGCACACTTCCCGCAGAACCCCTACATCGTGCGACTGCACACACCTCCTATGCATAGCTGTTAAATACTTTTGTCGCCTCCTCCAGATCCCGCCACAGTGCCTGCTCTCTATGTGCGCAGCTGGCCAGCACTGGCATCACCTGGTCTGTCGAAACCTGTTTCACCAATCACAGCGTCCCTTCCCTCGCCACACAAGCTCTCCTTCTCCCCTTAGGTTTCACGCCATGAGCGGGCACGCTATCAAGCAGCTTACGAACGGATGTGTACAATTCCACGGTTTGGTGGCCTAAAAATGCCATCGCATTTATAAGCAAATTAGATGATGACCGCATGCCGCTACAATGCTCCTTCAGATATGAAACGGCAGAGGCAGAAATCGAAATATGGGGCCCTATGTTGCTTTTTTTGGACTCCTACGGCAACCAGATAGAAAGAAGGGATGTCAACGACGCAGCAAACGCAGATTGGATGTTGATTGGCGAGAGTCGCTGAGGACGAATTCCCGCAGAAGAAAACAAAGCTCACCTTTTTTTTGTTTTTTTTTTTCTGTGGAAATCAGTCATCAGTGACTCTCACCAATCAGCATCCAGTCTGCGTTTGCAGCAATGTCGACGACGCTCCCTTCTCCCTAGTCGCTGTGGGAGCCCAAAAAGCGCAACATAGGGCCCTAGGAAACCTGGGTTCTGCAGCACAAGCTTTTGCCTCACATGCTCTGAGCTGTCGTGCACTAACACTCGGACCCCCTCCCCCACAAGACAATTTTATAACATCAGGCAGTACTTTGTAAGCAGTGACCGGCAAAACTTGATAATTTTATAGAGAGTGGTCAACCGGCTATAGTTAATTGCCCGCACCTACAATGCTATTCCACGGTCACAAATGTTATTTGAGCTGGGCTCATTTGCTGCCCGTGGACACACTTCAACGTTACATTACTAGTAAAACTACCGACCACATTGCAGATATATTAGTAGAGTAAGGACAACGTTAGACGTTTGTACGTGAGGTCTGTGCCTCTACCCACTGGGCCCGGCGCATCAGAATATGGAGCACTTAGTTTCTACTCACTTTTGGTTGGCCACTACCGTTTCCGTAACTCGGAGTGGAGTGTCCTGATCATTTGCAGCCTGGAGACACACACAAATGATACAATCAATCGTCAGTGTAAATGGACTCTGTGTAAGCGCGGAATGTTTACGTGTGTAACAACACCTATCGAGCCCCGATTACGGTGTACAACCGGTACAGAAAACCGATGATCCGGTGTGCAACAACACGAAAAAACACTCATATCGATCGCGTATGCAATTTTACGGGCGGTCGGTGAATATCGACATTAGTGCAAAACCACTGACGTGGACACTGATCCGGGCGATGTACCGGCGCGAGCAAAATTCCCCAAAAGTTTGTTTAAACCTAGACTCACCACTGCACCGATGAAAGCGAGGTGACCTTTTTCTTCGCTCGTGAGCGAAACCAAATAGGATTTCACCGGAGCGCTGCCCTTATTTTCTACAGTTACTTTGGTAGTGATCTTTACGAGCTGCGACGCCAAGTCGATGTTTCTCTCGACGTTGGTGTTTTGTATGGACGTAGAGACAACATCATTACAATTCACAACGGCGTATGAAAGACAGAGGGTCAACGCGATGACCACCCGAAGCCCCATTTTTTTCGCAAATACGTAGATGAATTCAGATTGCCGGCGTCTACAAGCCCTTTAAAAAACAGAACGCGCCATGACACATCACCGCATCACCAACGCGTCTTCCGCACCTGAGAGAAGTCCCGCACTACCAAAATAAACACTGTGGCGGTCTGTTATTGGTGGTTCAAAATAGTCACATGTATCACTTTGCCTCTAATATAAATACATAACGTAGTTTTTATTTGAGCACAAGTTTTGCTAATTAAAGATCCCGATTAAAATTCATTTTTAGTTCGTCACGTTTAAAGAGGAGCTCGTTTCCCGCCAGATTTGAGCTTTGAAGAAAATGGCGACCAGCGGCGATGTGAGTCGAACCTTGAAAGAAGCTCTGTGCGAGACCCTTAACGCTATTCTGTCCCATTCGCAAGAAGTGAGAACGAATGCCGAAGAGCAGCTGAAGATCCTCGAGGTGACAGATGGTTAGTCTCTTTTAACTTACTCTCACGGAACCGAACTGATAGCCGAAGCGCTACTTCGCCAACCATGTGGAGTTTGCTGAGGCGTGCTGAGCGCCATATGACGTCTCTGTTGGATGTAAGATCTCTTTTAGGTAGAATGAAGCTAGTGTACGAACCCAAAATGCATTTTAAAAAAAGTTCATTGGTTCCGCAGTCCGAAGACTTAGCACCGTCCTTACTTTCAACGTTTCCCGACGGCTAACGCGAGCGGAGCTGTCAAATCTCCGCCATAATTCAAACTTGAATTGCTGCGCGTGTTTCATTTTCAGAGTTTTGTGTTCACCTGGCAGAGCTCACGGTCGACCCTCACTCGCCGTTCGCAATCCGCCAGCTAGCTTCGGTGCTCCTCAAGCAATATGTCGACACGCATTGGTCGCGGAACTCTGAGAAGTTTCGACAACCCGAAGCAACCGAAGAGGTAATGTTGAAGCTCGACCGAACTCGTTAGTTTAAACCCTGCTCCGACGTTATTGCTCGTGTAAACAGTAGTTCCTTAATTGATTCCTTATCTAGCCTATGCCATACTTATCATTTTGTTCTCTATTTGTGTGAAATGCGTGGTAGCATGAATTCAGTTAATTCACAGATTCTCAAATGGTGTTCCTAGGTGCACAGGGATTCCCCAGAGTACCCTCGGGGGTTCCCCGGGCTCTCAAACTTGCCTAATCATCTCTGCTACCAAGTAAAGCGTTTTTTCTAGTTTAAGCACTATTTGAGCAAATTTGATCCATCCTGTGATGTGTAGCTGTGTGCCACATTCCCTAGTATGTGCATTGCTGTTTACAATGCCTCTGAGCTTTCAGCCTGCTTGCAACCATGCCACAAGCAGACGTGGTTCCTCAACTATCAGTAAAGAACAACTAGCTGCTTCCTGAAACTAAAAAGCTTCACAACTTGATTTAGTTTGTGCCTCCATTGGTTATGCACTCAGTTCGAATCAGTCTTGTTTAATCTATACAAACCTTTTGCATCCTTAACTCTCTCCGCTTCCAATACAACGGTTCTCACAACACCAGTTATTCCCTCCCCCTCCCTGTGACTCTACGAGAGTTCCTTTGCCCTCTTCTGCCGCCACGCACTGTAGCTATACTCTGTTTCACAATAACTTGGCGAACTTTGGAGGCTGCGTCCCCCACGACCCAGTAAGAGCGCTGGAGCAAGGCACGTGATAACACGCCACAGCAACAGTGCCGTCCACGTCAAAAAGTAATTCTAGGCTTCTTTTTCTTTTAACGGCAATTGAGCTCTCACACTTCAATATCTAGCGAGAAGATACGAGTAAAGAATAAATAATTACAAATTTATTAGTTTCAATTATATTTACACCAAAAAAGTGATGTCACATCCGTTTCTGCTCCCGATTTTTTTTCTACTTGTATAGTGCCGTGGCCGTTGGCGATTGGCGGCGATCGCAGCCATATAATCGGCCGTTTCTGCCCAAAACATCACACTGTGCCCGTCATAGATTCGCGGCTCAATGTACCGATGGATGGATGGATGAATGGCTGAGCCCTTTGGATCGGGCAGTAGCTTATGCCACCTAGGTTGGCGCATGTTGCAAACAAATACTTTCCCCCACCTCAGCCTCTTACATGCCATGTACCCTACAGTATACCACACAAACAAATGTCCCCTGTGCACCGAAAAGGCTTCACTATATCACATCACGTGGGCATGCCCTAAGATTCAGGCTGCCCCCGCAGTTCCCAACCCAAATGCCGAGCAGTGGGAAGCTGCGCTGTCCAGCTGGGATCCGGACGACCAGCATAATCTGGTCTCGCAGGCCCGAGCCGCAGCGACAGCTACAGGGGACCTGGAATGAGGGCTCCTCTCGCCTCAGAAGAGCCCAACTAATTGTTTATTAAAAGTTTTTTCTCTCTCTCTCTAGCCATTTTGTTTTACCATTTAAGCTTAGGATATTTAAATGTGAAATCTATATTCACTCCGCACTGCAAAGAAAGTGGGGCTATAAAACCCCCTTGCCATCAGTTAATAAGAAAATAACTAGTTTTCTCTCGCTTTCTGCCACCATTCACTTAATATTTGCTTGGTAATATCTACAGTCTTATAATCCACTCTCCCTTCGCTGTCTCTAAAACCCAATGACTTCATTAAATCCATGTTGTCTTCGGTAGGCATAGGGTGAAGCCCTTTACAGTAGAGTATCAAGTGCTCAGCCGTCTCGTCCTCCTCTCCACAAGCAGTGCACACTGTATCCATTTCCTGGTACCTCGCTCTGTATGTTCTGGTTCGCAGAACACCTGTCCTCGCCTCAAACAACAATGAGCTTCCCCTAGAATTGTCATAAATGCTTTTTTTGGCAATAACTGTTTTGTTTAATCTATAGCTTTCCAGAGCCGTCTTTGTCTGCATTTCGTCTAGCCACCGATCTCTTTCTGTGGCCTTAACTTGTCTCTGTCCCTTCTACTTTTAAGTTTCTGTTTCTACCCCAGTCTCGGGTTAAGTTCCATCATGGTAAATATCCACCAGCTCGCCTGTACTTTAACCGTTTTTCACCAAAAACTTTCCTCTTAATTTCCTAGTGCGCTGTCTCCACTTTGTGTCTATGCTCCTCATGTATAAATAGCTGAAAACCTTTCGTGCCCATTGGTCCCCATCCATTTGCCTCAACCGATCCTCAAATTCTATCTTGCTCACCACTTCCCTGCTTTCAAAAGACGCCCATCCCATGTCTCCTTGTACTCCTTGGTTTAGCGTTTCGCAATGTGCCCCCAAAGCCAGCCTACCTACTCCGCGCTGCTTTATTTCTAGTCTTGCATGCACTTCGGATTTCATGCATAGCACAGCGTTTCCAAACCGTCTCACAAATTCAGTGCCATCTAGTGGTTGAAACATTAGTCTAAATTTGTGTATGCTAATGGTAGTTAAAGTTTAGTACCTATTAGTCAACGGCAGACATACAAAAGTTGCAGTGTTTTCCGATGTGCAGTTATTTCTCTATTTGTTTCAGTATCGATGGTGTTAAGAAACTACCTCTCTCTTAGAGGTGCTTCGTTGAGTAAAACTCTTGATAAAATTCTTTATTTTTATTTTCATGAGCTGTCTGGGGTGTGTCGAAGATGCGCATTCCGAGGATTTACATGACACCCTCAAAAGAGTAGCGCATAGAAGCTTATAAGACTCGTCATGGTGACATTGCTTTATCAAGAGAAGGTGATGTATTCATTAATTTAATGTTTTCTCACTTACAAACAACATGCAGTGAATGTCTGGAATGTTCAGGGTTCGCGTCGGTGCCCGTCTTCAAATTCTTGCTTCACCAGCCATCAGAGGCTGCCATTAGCATGTACAGATGATATTGCCGCGTGGATGATCAAGAAGAAATGCTTCTCCGTTCTTTTAGAAGGTTCGCATATACTATTACCTCAAGCATAAATGATAGCCAGTTTGCCCTAACTCTTTCCCGAACATTTAGGTGGAATATTCCAAATGACGAGCATAGTAGATAAAAAGCCAAGCGCCGTATCGCCGATTCATTCACTGATTCTCTCTCTCGATAGCTAGCTGTTACGCCGACATACCGTCGCTTGCTGCCGCCGCCGCCGCTCGCTGCTGCTTCCTCGACGTCTGTTCTTCTCTTTTTTTGTTTCTGGCAGAAGTTTGCCTTCATTCAATCCTTAGTTCATTCCGTTTTCTCCTGTCCCCGAAGTACTGATTACAAATTGAGGGTTGTCGTTTTTGGCACAGCTAACTTGCGAGATCCTGCGGCTCAGCCACACCAGCCATCGTCGAGCGAGAGCATACCATCCTCAGACGAACGGGCTGACAGAACGGCTAAATAAGACCATCGCCGGCATGATCGCCATCTACGTTGATATATAGCACAAGACGTGGGACGAGGTTTTACTCTACGTTACGTTTGCCTACAACACGGCAGTATAAGAGACCACTGGAGTTGTACCTTTCCAGCTGCTACATGGTTGGGAAGTAACGACCATGCTGGAACGATGCTGCCCCACGAACCAGCTGACGATTGGAGTGACGACGCCCAGGTGGTTGCTCAATGGCCTGAAGAATTCCGCTAGCTCGCCTGACTCCAGATCTAAAACCAGCAGCGTGTTGACGCTGGCCGCTACAACCTTCGTCGTCGGGACGTTCACTTCCAGCCCGGAGACAGGGTGTGGGCACCCATTAGTTGCTGCAGCCTCAGCGAAAAACTCTTGAAACGGTGCTCCGGAACGTACAAGGTACTTCATCGCCTCGGGGAGCTCAACTACGAAGTGGTGCCCGGCGGAATGCATACATCATGACACCGACTACGACCCGAGGTGGTTCACGTCATTAGACAAGCCATTCTGCACGGTAGCACTGAGGTCTTTTTGTTTTCCGGAGGACGCTTTTAGCTTGCCTTTGTTTTGTTTTGTGTTGCATCGGGGCGATGCACTTTTATAGAGGGGAGTAATGCCGCATGCCTGATCGAGAAGATACGCTTCTCCGTTTTTCTAAAGGGTTCGCACACATCTTGCCCCAGGCGTAAACGATAAGGAGACCAGAATGACCTTGCCTAGTCAGTCCACCCTAGCTCTTTCCCTAACATTCTAGGTTGAATATATTCAAGATGACGAGCATAGTAGGTAAAAAGCCTAGCTCCGTATTGCTGATTCATTCACTGATTCTTTCTTGTGATAGCCAGCTGTTATGCCAATGTACCATTGCTTGCTGCTGCTGCTGACACTCACTGCTGCTGCTTTCTCGACGTCTGTTATTTTCTTTTTTTCGTTTCTGCCACAAGTTTGCCTCCATTAAATCTTTAAATCATTCAGTTTTCTTTTGCCTCTTCGTCTGTCATTCGTGACAATATACACCAACTCAACTCTGTGACGTCACGGCGCGGTGGTGGCGCGTCGGTCGCACTTCCGGTCTGGGGCTGTGGGCAGAAGTCCCCATGCCAGACGTGTATTCCTGCGTTGTTTTGAAAGGAACCTGACAAAAACCTGCCTTCTCGTCAAAACGCCGCAACTGGGGCCGCACCAAAAGTGTCAAGAAAGGTTTGAAGGTCAGTTTTCGCGTGCTCGGTTCGTCCGAGAATCTGGATATGTGCCGTGAAAAGGGAAAAGCAGATGCCGTCTGACAACGATTGCTTGGACGGGAAGCACTTTGGGTTGAATTCACGGATACTTGTGGTCATCAGATTTATTTGTTTTGTTTCAACATGAACGCCAGAAAACCATCAAGTTGTGCGGACCACCTGCGGACTACGTTCAGTGCGTCTTCAAGTTCAAACGGCCGGCTGATCATTCGAAATGTCGTCTGCTCTTTCAAACGTTTCTGCTTGTCTGCTCTCTTAGACGACGCCGGCCCGTAGACCAAACGTTGGCCCGGTACTTGCTATAAGAAGTAAGTGCAGGCCTCAAAAGACTTAAGTTTGAAGGTTGGTAAGCAGGCTCGATGTAAACAGTAGATACAAGGAGATGTTGATCATTGTTACCAGTGACCATCACTGACTTGCTATGCCTAATTGACTTGGTCCGATTCTACTCGCGATTTTCAGTATCGACGTCGACCATCTCAGCTACGGTTCACGCTTTTGCAGCCCGAGCGGCATCGCGACTGAAAATTGCGAGCGAAATCTCATCATGCGAATCAGGTTTTAGCGTACATACTGCGGCGTCCACGTGGAATGAATCGCCACATGTCACATTATTCACGCAAAGTTTAGCGGTGTAACGAGCCTCGGTAATTTCGCTGACACCGCTCAAGTAGTCGGACATCGCCAGGAAGACGTAGAATTAACAATTTGAACGCGAGAAAGGGCAGGGGGACTCACGCCGACACCGACAACATCGCATTTCAATGGCTTGTTTATGGTGGACCGCGAGCTTCTTGCCCACACCCCCATCGCGCATGCGCGGAGCCGGTGGTGTCCGCTAGGGCCGCTCTGGTTTGTTTGTAAACATAAGTTGGTGTATACACAGAGAAGTTGATAGTTATCGAAGTGAGCGGACTGAATTTCAGAAAGGGTCTATTGAGCATATGCTTGTCTCAAGAACTGTTCCCAAAATGCTTGCTATTCTAGCAGACAGAAATGTTGCTGTGGTGGACGTTCATCCGAAGTTGGTTGGTTTTGGGAGCAGACAGCTCCTGGCTAGCAGACGACAGCCGGTTTCTCCAGGTCTTGCGCCTCGAATTGGGCGTAGTGACACAAATGCTCCCGTGACCTTGGGCCACGGGCCTCGCTCTGATGCTCTTATTGGGTCATGGGGCCCTAGCCTCCACAGTTCGCCAAGTTATCGTGAAACGGAGCATAGTGGTACCCTCGTTGGGCCAGCCCCGTTCGTAACAACATTTAGATAAATAGTGAATCTAGATTCATGTGAGAGTGCTCTTGTTCCATTAAAAGGGCACTCCGGCAATCTTTTTTAGCTACTTTAGCTAACTATATTTTCTGAATCCCTGGTGTTTACCCTTTCCAGTATGGTATTTAGTATCTCGAAATTCACAATAGTTATTTTAAAATTGGCAAATGAAAATGTTGCAACAACCAACATTCATATATATCCGCTCTTTTCGGTGCTGTGACGTCAGTGGAAGGCAGGCTTGCCAGTTAAGCAAGCGGTCTAAGAAATGGACTATGACAGGCATTTGTTCCATGCTGGTGCGTGGGTACTAGAGCGAGCTTTCAAAGCATTCATTTGACACCATGAAACTGCTTGTAATCAGTTGGGAACAAAATCTACTGTCCAAAGAGTGAACCCATGCCTTCCACTAGAGTCACATTTTCATTGTTGCCAGTAGACTTTCATTTAAAAAAACAAAACATGGTGCGTACCAAAATTGTAAAATCAATTACTTTGTAAAAAACAAATATTTTGTCACCGCCATGAAACTGCTTGTAATCAGTTGGGAACAAAATCTACAATCCAAAGAGTGAACCCATGCCTTCCACTGGTGTCACATTTTCATTTTTCAGTAGAGACTTTCATTTTAAAAAAAAACATGGTGCGGACCAAAATTGTAAAGTCAATAACTTTGTAGAAAACAAATATTTTGACCTAATCTTTGGGATACTATTTTAGCGATGTTTGTTGGTGTTTTCAAGTTTACAAGAAAATCGAGGACCTTGAAGAAATCGCCAGAGTACCCCTTTAACCAGTTCTGTTGGTGCCCAGGCAAAAGCAACGATCCGCAACCTGCTTCCTCTGGGGCTGAGGGAATCCCTGAGCAAACTTCGCTCGAGCGTGGCCTATGCCATCTCTGCGATCGCTCACTGGGATTGGCCCGAGGCCTGGCCACAGCTCTTTGAAATCCTCATGCAAGCGTTGACCAGCGGCGACGCCAATACGGTTCATGGTGCCATGAGAGTGCTAACAGGTGAACTTATTGACACTGACTTTGGCTTGCCTTACATGTCCTCTGCAATGAATTGCTAAAACAAAGTGGTTCGTCCAAGTGGGACAAGGATGTGACATGCCTGTGCAATGCTTTGGGCAGATGTCTTTTCTTGAGTGAATAGCGAACATGAATACTGCCCTTGTCCCAAAGGGACTGCCTAAAACACTGTATATTCATGGCAGATCCTTAATCTTCTCATATTTCGTTCGGCACAATTAATTCCTTTTATGTCTTGCACCATAGCCATCTTTGCTGGCTAGTTTCCGTGCCACTTGTTGGTATTTGCTAAAACTAACATCTTCAAAGTGGAAGAAAAAAATTAACTTTTTTTTTTTTTTTTTTTTTTAATAAGATAGAGAGGCAGTCATTGAAATCCCTAGTGTGGTGGAAAGTGGTCTTCTTGGGCAACAACCTAGGCAATACAATTTGGTATATGTCAATACCCGGTCTGTGCACATTACTTGACAAGTAATGTGCACAGTTACACACGACGGTTACACATGACAGTGCCGCTGTCGTGTGTAACTGTCATGCAGTAATTTTTGCTGAAAGTAAATAGTGCTGTTTGTTGGTGAAGTAGTTGTGTGATTTGCGCAAGTTTGGCAACAGGAAAAATAAACAGCGAGACAGATGCGCGTAAAACCTGTCCAGTCCGACGTGCGAACTGTTGGAAGGACAGTTTGACACAAGAGTTTTTGTCACATTGGAGCTTTAGACGGGGGCTTTGTCTGGTTCCAGCATGCAACCACCTTGCCAAATATTTGCCGCACAGCTGTCCACTTATCGGAGGGCCGCAGCCAATGGCAGCATGAACAGAGCGAACGTTATGTCACGTGACTATTGGACTGATCGGGAGAGGAGGTGCTACACTGCCCAGGGAAATGGATGTAGCGGTGCGTCGCGCGAGTCATCGTTGTCGTGAAGACAACAGATGGACGCCATGGAATTTTCCCGCTCCCACAAAACGAGCTGCTGATTTTGCGCGTCCATAGCAAGCCGGCATTTTGGGACCGATTGAGACCAAAATATACTCCGTTTTGCCTTACGATGGACAGCAGCAGATGCTACGAACCATTCTAATGCCGTGCGAATGTCACGTAACCTTCGGGAGAGACGCAGCATTGCATGGGGTGCATAGTCACGTGATTTGTATATGCAGTGCTCACTTCGCTGGGACCAGTAAGATAGTAGCCTCACGTGAAAATTTAAGACATGCACACTTTAATGAAATATACTACAAATATTGTGTTTATTTTAAAGTCAGAAAAACCACGAAGACGAGGGGAGGAATAATATTTTGGTTTCTAGGCTAGGTGGCACGAGCTATCGCCCGTTATAAATACAGCCATCATCATCCATCCATCCATCTATTCAGTAGAGGGATACTCAAAACTGGGGCGAGCTGAACGGAACGATGCATCGGAAGCATGTGTTTTGAACTGTCGTGTTCGGCGAGTCGGAGCAGCCATCTTTCCTATAGTTTGCAGGTCGGGTAGGACATTTTTGACGCGCCTGTCTCTCGCACAGACTCCGTAGACAAAGATTTATTTTACCACATGAATTATGGGTTTGTGAAGGTGACAAATAGCATGAAGGGTAACATGTTTTTTGTTCTCTTTGAGGTTTTCTTATTCTGATGGGCTTGGCCAGCAAGGTCATTCCAGGCTGTTTGGGGGTTCTCAGAAGTGTGAGCTCTGTTCAAAGGTAGTGACTGCACTAGGTCATGGCGTGTCATAAGTGTGTACAATGGCGGCTGTGGAGTTAAAAAAAAAAAAGATAAAGAAAGAGGGAAGTGTAAGGAAAGAAATTTTTTTTCTCTTTGTTTGTTGTGTTGGTTTGTGACGTCCTTGACTTCTTTCCCTGCTTCTTCTTCTTTTGGTTGTTTCAAGATTTTCTCACCCAGACTCTGGTATTTTAACAAAATGGTAGACTAGACCTGTTCCTGAATTCTGCCATCTCCGTTGTCTCATCATGTCATGCTAGAGTGTCTCGATGATATCTTACTAAGTACTTCGGTTGAAAGTTTCTCCTTTTCTTTCTCGTGGGCTGTTTTATTTGCAACATTTATTTTTCCAAAAGTTTGCGTTCTACTCGTTTTGAACTCGTCAGTGCCGCTGAAAAGTCGTCGTCGTTACCTTTTTGTCGCCGTTCCAGAGTTTTCCAGGGACATCACGGACAATCAGATGTTCCAAGTTGCTCCCGTCGTTCTTCCAGAGATGTACAAGATATTCACTCAACCCGAGGTAGTAACCACTCGCACGTTTGTGTTCCCTTCAATCAACTTATGTGTGGCTCCGATTGTGCTGCAGAAATACGGAATCCGTACGAGGGGCCGGGCCGTAGAAATCTTCTCTACCTGCGCCCAGATCATTGCAGCGATGGGACACATGGACAAGGTGATGGCGGAAACTTTTCGTTTTTCTCTCTTTTACTTATATCTTGTGTCCCACCCATTTGGTATGAAATGTAAATGTTGTCCGTGGCCGGATAAGAACCCGGTAAATGCTCTGCCTCCAGCACGCACTCCTTCCGCCGTGCTTTGGCTGCACGTGCGACTAAGTGTTATCAAAGGTGGAAAACTCACACTTGAAAGAGTGCATCCGAGAGCTTTTAACCTCCGACCGTCTATAGATTATGTTAATCTTTCCTCCATCATTCCTAAGAAATTGCTTTACGTCCTCCTCCTTGATCATCTTGTCGACCAACTATTTCGCCAACGCAATTAGTGGCTCACTTCTGCCTCGTGTCTCTTAGGAATGTTACCACCTGACCTTATTTTATTGCTCTTTTTAGGCTGATATGTATTGCATGACTGACCCCGAGCTTAGGTGAAGACATTGTTTATTTCCTCTTGCCGTTGGGCTTATGCAGATGAATATTGCCATTGTCTTCTGTGACAGTGTTGGGCCGATTGACCGCCACGGTAGTCTATTTGTAATCCTGGTTGTGAATTTGTTTCTCTGCAGAACACTGTCAAAACTCTGCTGTACCCCATTCTGCCCCAATTTACCGAGGCTCTCGTTGAGGCCCTCAAGATACCTGATGGCCCATCTTCTGACAGTGGGATCAAGAAAGAGATCCTGAAGGTGATGGTCAAAGAATACTACATCCTACTGCTTTTCTTCCCCCTACTAGCAAAAATGGGATTGGACATTGTTCCCTGCCAGTCGTTTTCTAAGTCCATAAGACTACATTGGTAGCCGCCATATCTTGAGCATTGCTTTCTGCGCAAAGCACGAATCCGGGCTCACGGAGAGCGCTGACACAGCACTCGTGCATTGCATGTTCAAGCTATAAAGTAAATATGCAGCATTACTGCTAATACTTGGTTGCAAGTGATTCTGGGCATTGGCTGTGGTTTAATCGGTAGCTTTCAGGTTGCTAAGGTCTCTTGTAATGCAAAGGTCTGTTTAGTTTGTCTCCATGTCAAGTTTTGTTTCCAAATCATTTTCTAAGATTGTTTTTATTACTTAAATTTTTCTCACTCAAAACACCACTAGTTTTCACAAATATGGCAAATTTTTTAAGTGACTGATATGTGAATGTGTGATGTGCAACTTCAAAAATTCTGTTTAGAACATTGGTTCATCGATCCAGATATTAATCAATCAATTTCAGAGCCTTACCGGGGGTTAATCTTGCTTCTCCTTCATGTTCACAGGCACTGACGGTCTTGGTGAAGTATGAACCCAAGCAGATGTCAACATGGCTTCCCCACATTCTGACGCCTGTCTGGAACTCTCTCACAGAAAGCGCGCTTATGTATCCTTGCTGTTTGGTTTCATCTGATGTTGTTTCTTAAGATGAAGCTTAATTCATGCAAGACATCTGAAAAAAATATTATATGGAAAGGTCAGCGGGGGCACAGAGTGCCATGATATTCAACGGCACATTGATTAAGTATTTGTAAAGGCCCTTGACACTTCTGTAGATATGTTAAGACTGCAGTGAATGATTCTGAAGAGGCCAACGATCCCGTTGACTCCGATGGTAAGTCATCTGCTCACAGTATCCAGTTTGGTACCTTCTATATTTCAAAAAAATAAAATGCAAAACCTGCATTAACACCTAAAAAAAACATGGGTCAATTAAAAAAAAAGTACTTTTGAGCACTTTTCAGCCGAGAAACTTTCTCCCTCAAGCAACCCGGGATTGCAGTGTAATAGAACTATATTGACTGCTGAAAAATACAAATATCTTTTGCCCTCAAGAATGTTTTTTTATGACCAGGTAAATAACAATAACCTGACTGCACATTGTACCCTGACTTATTTCTAACGACCTAGTAGTAGTTCACAGAAAACCTCGTCTCACAACTGCAGGGCATTTTGTTGCATTACAATAACATTCTCACTTTTTTCCCCCTGTTGAACCTTTTGGTTCCTTGTTTATCTCTGTGTTTCAGGAGAGGTACTGGGATTTGAAAATGTAGTCTTCATGATCTTCGATTTTGTCAGCGCCCTTGTGGAAGCTCCCAAGTTTCGGGGGCCTGGTCAAAAAAGGCCTGGCAGACCTTATCTACTACATAGTGTTTTACATGCAGATCACCGAAGAACAGGTGAGTATTGGCATTTTGGGGGGGGGGGGGGGGGGGGGGGGGGGGCGGGGGGCGGGGGGCGGGGGCGGGGGGGGCGGGGGGGGCGGGGGCGGGGCGGGGCGGATGGTGCAGTCAAGTTGTGAGAGTGCACTGATTTGGTACGGGCTTGTTAGCCCAAGATTAGAGAAACTAGGTAAAAATCCTGTCATTGTTTTGTTGTACAAGTTCAACAGCTGAACTTAATAATTTAGTGTGCTGTAAAATTTCCAGTTCGAATCAATGCCTCCCGTAAAACAAACGAGCTCCAATAATTACCGTAAAATCCCAAGAGATAGCCCGCATAACATCATGAGCAAGTTGGGTGAAAATATGGAGTGGGCTAACTTTCGGTGTACAAACAAGAAAAGTAAGAAATTGCTATTTTTAGGTCGGGTCCCTTCCACAAGCTTGTTACGGTGGCGAGGGGCAATGAAGCAAAGACGACTGTACTTCCCAGTCAGCAACGTTTGCTTATATCCCGCCATAGCTAGATAGTTGCATTTATGCCGAGGCCATAATTGATCCCAACACTACTACTACTGGTAGTGGGCTGTCTCTCGGTGTTTAAAAAAAATATAGCAAATGAAGCCGAAAATAGGGGTGGCCTATCTTTCGAGGTTGGCACATTTCTCGGGGTTTTATGGTAGTATAGGTTTGCGTGCGTGTGAATGCTGAGTCCCAAAGGTGGTCATCCACAAAAAGCTTAGTGAGTTGCTACTTTTATTCATGTCCTAGTGCACTTGTGTATTTATAAAATAAAGTCTTTGTTTTTCTTCGTGCATTAGGGTAAACATTGCCAACTTCTTTTGGTCATGTGCTCAACTTTATGAAATTCATTTTTGCTTTTTAAAGTGTGACCTTTCTGTTTGGATAACATGTCTCGCTTTCCATGATATGGTTTCCATACTGTGTTCAGGTGCAAGTTAAGAATGTGCCAAATAAACGTAACCTTGTACCAACCACGGCATCAAATCGCCGGCGTCGCGTTTTGCGACGTCAGCGCGACATGCACCTCAGTGGCGGCCTATTTGCACATTGTGGAGGAACGGTGGCTGGCGGCAATGAGGGTGTGGGGTAGACCTCCTGCACATTCTCACTTGTACCTGACTGTAGAAGCTCTTCCAGACGTCGATGAGATAAATACAAAACACGCGGAAGAAGTCAAGTCACACCCTTCTAAATGAAAAGCGTAGGAGGGTTAAGCTGGTTTTGAACGCCTTGTATCTTGCACTTGTAACGAAGGATGCTGTTTCCATTGAACAGGTTCGCACTTGGTCCAGCAGTCCCGACCGTTTCGTTGAGGATGAAGACGACGACACCTTCTCTTACTCCGTCAGGATTTCAGCCCAAGACTTGCTCATGGTAAGCGCAACTGCCGCCAGCATGGGCCTGCTTGTTCTATTTGGAAAATGTATGGCTTCCGTGAGCCACATTAATTGGTTCCGATAAAGCGGGCTGTGATTTCAGCCAAGCATATATTTTTGACCTCTTACCTGATAGCACACTATAACGTAAAAAAAGTGGTTGGAGATTTTTTTTTTTTTTTTTTTTGCCGGAGTGCAATTTTGTTAGATAGCTATTGAATTACCAGCAAAGGAGTTGTCGAAGAGTTGCAAACATTGCATGGTTATACACAAAAACTTGCTGGTAACGCTATGCCCATTGTCACTTCAAGAACAGTAGTATAAAAACTCCTCCTCGGGTGTTACTAGCCTCCGTCTTTACATGGTGAATTAAACTCATACTTCCATGTGGAGTTAAAATCAATTATCTGTTATTTTTATTGAAGCATGTGCATTTTAAATGTAAAAGGCACCTTTCTGGCAACTAGTGTTGTGTGAATATTCGAATTTTCAAATACTAGTCTCAAATGCTGGTCTTTAACTTTTTGTTTTAATTTTTAATTTATCCTGCTGAAATGTGCTATACTAATGTATTTCTCAGTGGTGATTTCAAATATGCAATTAGTGTCATCCATTTGCTGTGCGAGTATTGTTAAATGCAAGAAAACGCGAAAGACGGTCACTGTACGTGGTGTCATCGACGGATCTTTTGGCTGCCCAAGGCTGGGAGGCGGGGCCTCAGCCCTATTTTGAAATTGCTCGTATGGACACAATTCAAGTGTTTTTTCTCAAATGCAGAACCGCCCCATCTTCCTTTTAATATTCGCTTCAAGGTGAACTCTGATATTCATACTTTTCTAAGTGTTGACGCGGCAGGTTAGCCCCGTTGGTTGCGCTTCTCATCGAGCACCTATGCACTGCGGTGAAGCAATGCCTGCGAGCTCTGTGGGTATTGCTTCCCCGCAGTGCACACGTGCTCGGTGAGAAGCACACTCAAAATGGGGCTGACCCCTCACAATTATACGAGTATATGTTAGGCAGCCATATCCTGACAGCCTGCATTCATCATTCGTGCTTACCATAAAATACCGGGCAAGCGCCCTCTCAGAATTTTGAGTTAATCATAAAAAAATGAGGGATCTGCGCTTGTCCGGTCATCGGTTCTACATATCAATGTACTGTGCATATTTTCTCAGATTTTACAAATTTGGGTATGGGTGCTTAATGTGTTATGGGCAGATGCACGGTATTTTACGGTAGTACTCTTTTTTTTTTTTTTTATTAAATTTGAAATGGAAGAATGTTTGCATATAGCAAGCAGATTTATAAATCATCTCGATTTGGATAGCTGCAACAAATCTTGTTTGCTTGGCACAGTTCATATAGTAAGTGGAAGGTTGGGAACATCCTTCACGAGTTCAGCTGAATTTTTGTTCAAGCATGGTACAACGGTAGTGAAAGGCTTGGGGAAACTATTCGGCCAAAACCACAATTCGCTTCAAGTTGGTTTCAAACTCAAAATTCATTATTTACACATAGCTACTAGCAACCAGATATTGTAGTAAGAACTTCTTCGTGCAATGTGTGAACTATCCCCAAAACTTGCCTTTTTTTCTTGAAATGAAAGCATGTATGCATACTCATGATTTCCTCCCGTTTGAAACGATGTAGGTTTTCTTTAGTGGCCAGGCTGCAGTTTTCAGCAGTGTTTGATAGATGTAAGAAAGAAATAACTGGAGCATATTTATATATTTACATGGAAACCTGCATCGCCGTTTTGGCATTATTGCAGAACTTTTCTCGTAGCTATTACACAAAAAAAAAAAAAATTTTTTTTTGATTTAGCACAAACAAAATTAGAAAACAATATCACCCAAAACTCACTTAGTGCTCAAATATAAAAAAACGGACACACTAAAAAAAAACTCTATTTTAACATTTAACATTACTTTGAAAATCAGGCAAAAATACATTTTTCGACAACTTCTTCCACTCTCCGATTGTTTTTGGACGAAATGGAGGCAAAAATATCAGTACAGTAAGAGTAGGGTTGTATCTTTCTTAAGTTGTCTGCTCTTCCCGATACATAAAAAGCAGAAATGTGCTGAGTAGGAGGCGATTTTGATATATATTATCGAGGAATTTTAACCTTAAAGATTTTCTTCGATCACTAAGTGCTTCCAATTTAGAGTTCCCTTCATACTGGTGATGCTCACTCCAAGTTGATAATTATTCAAAACAAATCTAGCACATTGGTTCTGAACTTTTTCAAGTTTACCTATTAGATTATTTTAATGAGGGTCCCAGACAATTGACGTGTACTTCATACATGGGTGAAAAAAAGTAAAATACAGAGTTCCCTTAAGTTTGCTTGATCCCTGTCAGAAATTTCATCTTATAAAGTTAAGCATGCATACTGCCTTTAGGGCTATCATATCTACATGCGCTTTCCACGTTAAACCACTAGACATCATGACACCTAAGTACTTTACATTTGATTCGGTTTTAATTATTTCATTATTTACTGTCGTATTTACTCGAGTACCGTATTTATTTGAATATAAGGCGAGGTTTTTTTTCCAAAATCCGTAGTCCCCGCCTTATATCCGAAGCTCAGTATAGCAATGTGACGATTTTTTTTCTTTTTCTTGGGTCCTTCAACTGCCCCCTCGCCTTATAATCGTGACCGCCTTATATTCGAATAAATACTGTAATAGCCGCACTATTTACGAACAAGGCCCTTGTGTCTACCTTCCTGCAAAGCACATATACCGCCAATCGTCGCGTTGCACATAAATAACATAGCGAATAACTAGATCAAGAACATGAGTCTCCATACAGATGCAACCTCCTCAGATGGTATTTTTGCGCAAAGACGTTATCTCTGTCCTGTAAACTGCTGGAATCATGCTGTCGGTTGTGGTGATTGGCAAGCCGAGTGCTCCGCGGAAAAGTGAACCCTCAGGTTTTCTTCATAAAGAGTGCGGCTATTACTCGAGTAAATCGGTATATATTTAGATAAAATGGAACATCTTTTTCTAGTAAATCTCACATGCACACACTTTTTAACGTTTACGTCCTCCAACTGGAGCACCATTGAGAAATTTTGTCCATATTGGTCTGTGATATATTGGTATCATTCACATCCTTACTTTATAAACAATGCAGTCATCTGCAAATAATCTTTATTTAATTGAATTCTGTTGGCAATATCATTAATACATACCGGAAAGTTCTTATTGCTTTTCAGACTCTGCTACTGTAATCTGAATTTTGTGGTTGCTTGGTAAAATACCTTTTAACAAATGCGACAGTTCACTGCTTCTTGCTTCAGGCATCACACGGCCAGATATTTTCATGCAGAAGGACAAATTAGCGCCAGAGCATCTTTAGACGGTTTCACATTTTGAACGCTGGATCCTGCTTGCTTGGCTTAAGTAGCCAATTACTGTGTGCGCTAGGATCTGGGGAAAAATGTGTCCGCAGGTTATGACAGAAAACTCCCCATTGGTCGTGGCAAGTATGAATAAATAAAAATAAAAAGAGGGGGCAACCAGTGTGAGTCAGCCTTCCTTGGTATTATTAGATAGTGAGGTCCTGATCCCTTGTTATCATCTCTAGGCATTGTCCTCGAGGTCGTCCTAGAAGTCGTCCTCGAGTTTGTCCTAGAAGTCGTCCGAGAGGTTGTCCTAGAAGTCGTCTTCAAGGTTGTCCTTGAGGTCGTCCTAGAGGTTGTACTAAGTGTCATCCTCGAGGTCATCCTAGAAGTCGTCCTCGAGGTCGTCCTCAGGCATCGTCCTAGACATAAAAATAACCGCTTCGCTGGTACTCCATCTTCCCGTGAAGTGGAAGGGCTCTACAATTTCTTGGAAAGAGGCGGCATGTTGCTTCGGGAAGTGGGGGTCCTCGCATTGATGACAATCTGAGCGTTGGTTGTTGCAGTCCCTCTTCCAAGAGTACGAGGAGGAGAGCATCAGGGGGCTGAGTGCAGCAGTCACCAAGCACCTACAGGAGAGCGCCGCTGCCCGATCCAGCGGCGATCCCCACTGGTACGTTCTACACCCGCACTTCCTTAGCTGTAGCATTCTGAGAGCCTGCTTCCAAGGACGCCTCGAATGTGTAGATGGTACAGTCTAAATTGGTTAAAACAGATCTTGATAGTGGCCAACATTTCAGTCTGTTGTAAAAGGAATATTCTTTATGCAGATATGAAGTTAAACCAATGGTACAGACAAGAAAACTAACCGAACTTCAGAAAGCAGTATGTTATATCCAAATGTCTGTTGTAACCAGGTCTGTTGTGACAAGCTTTTACTGTACCTGTGTTTGCTCTTTGTCTTATTGCAAAAGCATTAACTGTCCCATGGAGTGAAGCCGGCATTGTCTGTAGCAGGGAAATGAGCAAGAGATTCCCATTGACTGCGATGCGTCATGTGGCTCCATAGCACCGGTATCATCGTTGCTAAAGAGCCAGCCGAACTGCTGGCAGTGCAGTGGGAGGGGGGTATGCGGGTGTGCACTTGCCTGACATTAGGCATAACGCTAGGCCCATCTTTACGCTTTGAGGTCTAACGTTGCCAACCGTTACGCGGAGCTGTTTGGTGTGGGGGACACGGGTATGTGTCCCCCCTCACGTCATCAAGCACACGGTGCTCAATCTTACGTTCAAGGACAGCGCCATCCTTGGCATTGTCCTTGAGGTCGTCCTAGACGTCGTCCTCTAGGCGTCATTCTTGACGTCGTCTTATATGTTGGCCTACGCCGTACTTGGCATCGATCTCTAGGATGTCGTCCGAAACTTTAATACGTGTAGAAACATTTCTCGAAAACAGTTCACCCGCGGGACTATAATTCTTTTGCCCTCCTACTCGTAAGCAGTGTTAAGTGTCCTCCATTGATTTGTTTGTCTTGAGGGCACATAAAGGCAAACAATCTTAATTGACATGCCAATTTTAAGCTATGTTCTGTCTCCCAAGTTGTTTGCAGAAACAAAACACACCTATCTTGGTGTCTTGAGATTGCGGGTGGTCATCGTCTACAATGGTGCAGTATGACATAGTTGACATATGCGGCATGGTCACTTTTCACTTTTTCCCCTTTTACTGAGACAGGATATTGAGGAGGACAAATATTTACTGCTTGTAGGTTAGTTTGCTGCATGAGCACTTTACACCAAACTAGTAGTTCTGATAAAAATATTTCAATACGTAGTGAGAGAAAAAAAAAATGGAGATCGCTTGCTTGTGTTAACAGTGTTGTGCTCTTGCTCAGGACATTTCTGGGCATCTTTATTTCTCTGTACTACATACTCGAGAAATTTCAGTGAAATGGCTAAATAATTTTGGAATGCCATTTTGTTGGAGAACCTATTGCAGCAATACAAGCAATACATTGTGAAGTGTTAGAGGGGCACGAGAAAAGTTCACGGCTTGGGTACGTAGCAGGAAATATATGTGCGTGGATGTGTTTCTTCCAGGTGGAAAATTCACGAGTCTTGCATGCTTGCCCTTGGGAGTGTCAGGGACGCGCTCGTGGACGGTAGCAAGGAGCACTTCAACCTTTCCGGCTTCTTGGAGTCTGTCGTCCTTGCAGACCTTCAGACATCTGGTGAGTTTGACATGTGGCATCCGCCTCGAACCAGGCGAACGTGGAAGGAATGTGGCTTGCAAGGTTTCTTCGTCACCACTTTGTTGGCGTTTTGAACGGGACTGATTTAATTCAGTTCGAAGCTTCTGTAATGGTGTATTTGCACGAGAGATCTTTATCTCTGGAGGAAGCCGAGTATGTCATAGAGCTGCGAGAAGGAAAAGACGCGAGGAGGAGGATGCGATGCAGAAAATCTAAGTGAGCATTTGCATGTCGGAGTCACCGGAGTCTTTCTTTTTGCGAACCAGCTGTGATCTGCGGGGGCTCATCGAACAAAAGGCAGGGAAAAACTAAAAGACAAAAGGCACCCTACACTTCCCAAAAAGCAGAAGGACAAGGGAGGAGGCTTGGTCGCCCTGATTTGACGATGGATATTCTACAGGCTGGTCACAGATTCTCCTCGGCTCCCCGCGAGCATGAGGGATTAGCGATCATCTGTGACGCATAGCACGTGACCTTGAAACTCGATGACATTTAGTCTTCTCCTCGGGGAGAAACTCCGTCATGTGAATACACCATAAAGCGTGCAAACAGGAGATGCACGCACTAATACGAGTTTGGTCCTGCTGAGGCTGCTCCTGAAATAGGCTCTTGTTTGTTTAGGAAGTAGTTTTAGGCGGATTGACTGGAACGTGGTTGACGTGGATAACAAGGAAAGTTTATTTAGGGGTGAAGTCCTAGCTTTTGCGTCTTTATTTTTCTCAAAGTCGTACAAACCTATAGGAATTTCCATAATCACCAGATGTGCCCATTAATTGTGCAATTTGAATTTTTTTTTGTACTTATGCATTTATGTGGTTTTTTTTTTTACCGTCATCCTGGAAGCGGTGTAGATGGTGCTGTTCATAGATAAAATTTTCTGGTTGTTCTAGATTCACCGTTTTTGGCCGGCAGATGCCTCTGGGTGGCTAGCAGGTTTCCTGCCGTCATGACACCCGAAATGATGCAGAGGTGAGGGCGCTTTCGTTTTCACTGTTTTTAATGAGGGCGTTCATCATATAATTAACCCTTCATCGTAATCCATGTGTCTGTTAAGGCTCGAAGCTCGGAAGGCAACATACTTTCTCCAGCCTTAAAGGGGCGGTGCAACGATATTCACTTGGAATGTTTTTCACTTTACACGAGCTTACTGGCACTAGTGGGACTCAAGGATACTCGCACGCAACGCCACTGACTGACGATATTTGAATGCGGCTCATAGATTGGACCCGAGCATTGCGCGGACACTCGATTTGGGCTCGTGATAACCGATAGCTCGAGCAGCATTCGGGTAGTGTCCTGTGTCCAATCGCTGCAATGACGACAACAGCCGAACCATAGCAATGTCTGGAACTCAGCGCGTGTCCTGTGCCTTGCCAACCCCAGCGCATGGCTATGATCAACATTGGCGGCATATAATCGGCTCTAGATCACGTGGCCGCTTGTTCTGGCTGCGAGTTGAGGGGGTGAACTCTGCTCGTTTTTCTTTATTTTTTTCTGCAACTTCGATTGCGTGTAGTGAAAAACGAACGGGTATTTCACAGGTCATTAACGTCAGGGATCCGTTCTAAGCGGTATTTGCGCAAAATACAAAAATCGTTGCATCGCCCCTTTAGTTGAAAATGAGTCATCTTTACCAGCTCGCCAGTTTTTCCTGTTTTTATTTGCAATTTTTAAGCTTAGTACCAGGGGTGATTTTGATTACTCAAGACTCCCACAAGTAGGGGTGAAGACTCCAAATATTCTGACAAATTAATTTATTTTGAGTGTTTAACTTTGGCTCATTCTGGTTTCCACTATTGATGGCTCAAGGCATTCTTGCTGCATACTGTTAGTCAGGGAAGTTTGGACAAACAGTCATAAAAAGCTGGCAGAGCTAGGAACTTAAAAGTGCAATAATGGTAGTTGTGACAATTTGTAAACTGGTGAGGAGCAACCAGAAAGAGGGAAATTCAATATTGGCTCTCTATCATAACTCAAAACAGCTTATTTTGTACTTCACAGCTCATAAACATCTCAAAAGCAGGCTTTTGTGAGACGTTTATGTGCTGTGAAGTACTAAAACATGGAAAACCAACTAGCCCAAGTTGCGGTGTTAACAAGCTTATTTTGGGATATTGATGTTGAATCAATGAGTCGGTACCTCGGTTATTGCAGCAAGCTACATCATGCTTCACGTATGAAGCTGAGCATGCTCACACGAGTTCAAAACAGTGGCGGATCCAAGGGGGGGGGGGGGGCGACAAGGGCGGCCGCCTTCCCCCCCCAAACAAAGTCGACGCCCCCCCCCCCCCCCCCCCCTCCCCCCTTCTCGGAGGGCAATTTGACATCGGGGGACCCCCCGGCGCACACGAAAGAGTGGGAGAATAGTACCCTTACAAATTTTCCTCCCCCCCCAAAACCGAGTTCTGGATCCGCCCCTGGTTCAAAAGGGCATGTAAAAGATAGTAAACTGCATTAGATGTTGTAGAAGGCAATATGATGCACTGAAGTTTTATGTGTACAAAGGGGACAGCTACAAGCTTTCTGTAGAAACTAAAAAACATTCTAACATGGGACCTTGTGCTTGCAGGTTTCTTCAAACGACGGTGGATGGCCTGCAGCAGACGCAGCCGGCCACTTTGCGAGTGTCTGCGGTCCGAGCAGTCTGGGGGTAGGGATGCTCTTGCCTGCAGAAACACTGCAGAAGTTTGATCCTTTCTGTTTCCCATTCTTACGGGTTCTTTTGTGCCTCAGGTTCTGCGAGTATCTCAACAACAACAACCAGTCATCTCAGCTCACACCGTTCTTGGCTCCGTTTGCGGAAGGCCTGATCACGCTGTCCACGCAGTTCTCCTCTGATGTCTTGGCTCTGGCCATGGAAGCACTCTCCATCGTGATTGCCGTGAGTTTAGGTCGACTGATTGCTTTTCTTCTTGATGTGCGAAGCTAAAATCTAAATGTATTGTGGCATTTGGCTTGCTTGATGGTCGACCCCATACTTAATTTGAGAGCGATAGCCGTTATAGGAACTTCCGAGCTTCATTTGCAGCAGCGGCATTGTGCCAGGCCAAAAACTCAATTTCACGTGCGCTCGCACGTGCACCACTCTGTGATGTAAGCAGTGTGTGTGCACTTGGCTCTTGCCACGCAGCAGTGTCCTCTACGGTTTGTGGCGGACGCCGCTACACTTTCCTCACCAAAGAACTCGGTTTGCGTGTACTACCAAATGTAAACCAACCCACCAATAGTAACAGTACCTTTCTCGGCTTAGTAGTCAACTATGCTCACGCAGGAGCGGACAGGGGTCTCCTATTGTTCAATCCCCACATCAAAATTTCTCCTAACTTAGTCTTGGGCAAGGACATTGACTCGTGTGCGGTGTGTGTGTTGTGTGCGATAGAGCAAATAAAAAATGCATATGTATGAAAGTGGGCGTTACACGCAGCAGCAGCTATTGCCGTCACTTCTTCACACACTGTAATGAAAAGCTCTGGATGTTTTTAACATAATACAGTGAAATATGGAGCAAGATTTTGTTGGATTTCTCTGTAAAGTTTGGGTGGGCGCTAGCTCGGCATTTCGGAAAGTTTTTTTTTTGTACATTCTGAAGCAAGGGGTTTCTGTTTTCCTCAAAGGCCTTATTTATTGTTTGCACACTCACTGCAGGTGGATCCACAGTTCACTCACTCTGTGGAGAATCGAGTGTCTCCGATCACGATTGCAGTCTTTCTCAAGTACAACAGTGGCAAGTTGTTGGTTTTCTTTTCCTTATTTGTCAGAAGCATGTGTACTCTTCTTTGGAAATGCAAATTCCTAAACCAGTTGTCCTCCACCACTGACAATTTGGGGATCCTGGATCAGCGGAAGTAATGGAGAACCTGCCATTGGGGAGGAGGGCTATAATAGACGATTACACTGACAAAAGGGTAAATAAAGAAAAATAAATATGTGCAAACCAACTTTGAAGTTGTGAAACATAGACTAATCAACTCTACTCATTTGGCACCCATGTAAGACAGTCAGCATCAGTTAAAAATATATTTTATTGCTGTGCAGTTCTTGGCTTTGGGGACCCTAAGAAGGCCTTTAGGGATCTCAAAGGGTCCACAGACCCCCATTTGAGAACCACTGGCCTAAAGCATTTCCATTCTTGTTTTGTGACCTTTGGAATAGCCTTTATTTATTTATTGTTTTAGAGCGCAGCTCTTAGGGGCCCGTTCCCGGCTTGAGCGCCGTCGCCGTGGGCGTCACCAAGGTCACCCCAATTTCACATGACCCCCAAGGTCATCCCAAGGTCACGTGACCCCCAAGATCAGAACAAGGTCACGTGACTTCTCCCCTAGGGTCACGTGACACCCAAAGTCACGTGACTCCCCAAGTCACGTGACCCCCCCCCCCCCCGAGGTCAAGTGACCCCCATCGAGGTCACGTGACCACCCTGAGGTCACGGGACCCCCCCTAAGTCACGTGACCTCCCCGATGACGTCATCGTCACTGATGACGTCACCGGCATCCGCATTGTCATCGTCATCAGTGACGTCACTGATGACGTCACCGACATCGTCATCGACATCGTCATCGTCATTATCGCTGATGACGTCATCGGAGTCCGCATCGTCATCGTCACTGATGACGTCATCAGTGACGTCACTGATGACGTCATCAGTGACGTCACTGATGACATCATCGGCATCGTCATGTCAAGGTCACTTCACCCCCCCCCCCCAGTACCCTTCCCTCCTCCTCCTCCTCAAGAGCTGCGCTCTAATTCGGTGTTACAGGGAGTTGTAAACGGCTTTCACTTTTTTTATTTGTCATTTTTTATTGTATAATGACACTCAGTGATATAGCTTCAAACACTTTCTAGTGTAGACCGCATATAACGTATGTCGCGGGAGTCGCAAAAATCCGCACTATAAGCGGTACCGCGCTATAACCAAACCATCAATTTTTCAGGCCAAAATGCAGGGTGAAACAAGGAGATGCCAAGCTCTTTAAATCGACCGGAAAATTTGGTTTCTTAACCTATCGCGCTACGACTTTGTGCAGCGTTGCCCACAGATGGTAAATTTTTTTTGTAAAATTTGCGAAGAGCGAACTTACGCGAGGAAAAAATAAAGAAAGAAAAAGGCTTAGCTCCTATGGAAACGCAGCGACGCCACTGGTCTGCAAACAACATTGCGCCGTTTCGCACGGGAGACAAGAGATGGCGTAAGCGGTCGCGACGCCAACTGCAGCCAACGAAAGAGCAGACGACGCCGAGAGCCGGCCCTTTTACAGAAAGGAACTGCAGTTCCTTGCTGTTACCGCGCCTGTCTTTTTTGTTTCTGCGACTGTCGCCGCCTGCGGAACGCGCGCCGCTTTTGAGTCGAAAAAATTGTCTGCTAAAAAGGCCTGCTCTCGGCGCCGTATGCTCGTTTGTTGGCGGCGTTTGTTGCGCCATCTCTTGTCTCCCGTACGAAACGGTGCCGTGTTGTTTGCAGACTGGTGGCGCCGCTGCGTTTCCATAGGAGCTAAGCCTTTTTCTTTCTTTACTTTTTCCTCAGGTAAGTTCGCTCTTCGCAAATTTTACAAAAAAAAATGCACCATCTGTGGGCAACGCGGCACAAAGTCGTAGCACGATAGGTTAAGAAACCGAATTTTCCGGTCGATTTAAAGAGCTTTGCGTCTCCTTGTTTCACCCTGTAGATGCCATGAGACAACTTACCTTTGTAAAACAATTTTTTTCATATTAGATGAAAAATAAAGCTTAGTTTGAGGAAAGTCTTTATCTCACCAGTCTAGTACACTTCTTTCTCAAGTGTGTCACACATTTTGAAAGAAATGAGTGACTTGCCTGGTGCAGCCTTTTAACGGCGTCGCAGGTTGCGGACGGATGTTGTGAGCGTTCAGGATTGCTAACCCTAATCACTTTTCTCCGGTGATGAAAACACGTAAAAATTTGCATCCTTTATGCGGTACGCGCATGAGGTGCTCCAAATAAGGCTTGAAATGCCTTATTTGCATGAAATGCGCGCATGAAATGCTCCAAATAAGAAATCCGGGCGATGTTCGAATACACAAATGTTTAGAAAGCACCACTGTAGTCAAAGTAAACAAACACGACGACACTGGCGTTTCTGCTGTCTTGAGAGTGCCGCCACGACATTGCCGCACGAGTAGGTGGATCTTCCCTTCTAGTGCGTGCTGGGTTATAGCGACACACAACGAAAATTCGCAGTCAAGGATAGCGCTTTTACATGGAACGGTGAGCTTCCACCATGCCGTCTGCGTCGACGATCACCACCGATGCCATGTTTGCGGATAGAAGAAGCCGGCCCGCGACCGGCATGCAACGCGCGCAAACACTTTTCCACGACCTGCGATTGGTCTGTCGTTGCGGTTGTTTCGAATGCAGCGGGGGAAGTTGGGCTCGCTCCAACGCCTTGCGTCGTGAACGATACGTGCGTGTGTCCCTCCGTCGCTATGGCAACTGAAGCCTCTCTCTTCGCTTCTCCCCGCTTCTTCGAGCAACCTCCTTGCCATCCTTGCCCCCGCGAGTGCCGCTTGCGGCTAGCCAACACCCTCTAGAAACGTATAAGGCCTTAGCTCTCTTCCTGTGACGTCACACGATAGGGCGGATTGGTAAAAGTGCGGAGCGCTGTTCAAGAGAGGTTGTCGGGCCGATTTATCGCGCGGGCACTTTTTTTTCTTGCAAGAACGAGCATGCATCTGCTGTAAAAGAAATTTCACTGGACGAAAATTATAGGAGAGAAACATTTATTTACACAATCCAGTTTCGTTTGTGTTTGCGCTTCATCAGAGGCAATACACCTATTTCTTCTGGAGAGTTGCGGCTTTCCGTTTTTTTTACTTGTCAGCAGCGTCGAGAAGCTTGCCGTTTAGCTTTCCGCAGAAGTTCTTCAGTAAAACGTTCGTGCTGCATTGAAGGATGTCTTTCAGCACAGATTCACTCGTGGGGCCGTTCTCGCAGACGTCTAAGTCAGATGGCTCTTCGTTGGCCAGGAAATGCAGCGTCAGCTTCGTGATGACCTGGCGCTGTTTGGGCATTAGTAGCAGTTCTGGTTACGTAGCGAGCTGCTCTACGACAACGTAGTTGTGTGTAACACCGTTAAGCGCAAACATCGATGGGTACACCAGACCTCCTCGGTCTAACTGCTTCACGAGATCATACTGTTCATCGGTGGCAGACACTGTGATTGTCTTATCCACTGTCAATGCGTCCTTGCATTTTGCGCAGTTCAACTTTTTTGGGTGTCACGCACAGGGCATATCCTGCAATGTAGACCAGGATCGGAAGGATGTCCTGTATCTTCGAAAGTGTCTCGCTGCTTACAACTACGTTGCAGCTGGGATGCAATGCCTGTACCTGCTTCCGTACACATTCCCAATGCTGGTCAGTGGAAATAGTCGGCAAGGTGCTCTGCAGGCGCAGCTTGTTTTCGACTTCATAAGTCTGCCCGATAGAAACATGATACTGCGCACCTGCCAGTTTTCTATGCTTCCCAGACTGGTCCTCTAGGCACTCTGTTTGTATCTTACCAAAAAGAACATAGGTCATTTTAAGCTCTTCGAAGCTGTACCTAGCGAGCTCCACAAGCGCATAGGTAGTGTGCTCGAGCACAGCGTGAGTCTCTTTTGTCAGAGTACCTTTGTCAAGGCCTTTGTTTTTCCACTCATCCAGCCATCTCAAAAGCAAGTGCAAGAAGTCAATTTTTGGATCGTTGTCCACGGAGAACACTGGTTGTTGGAACTGGTCTCTCAGCTTCTTTCCCTTCCGCGAAGTTTTCACATTCACAATTTTCCACCACTTGAGTATGATGTCGATGAAAGTAGCAGTGACCTCAAATGAGAACAGGTTGTGCTTTGCTCCAAGAGCACGCAATGCCACAGGCAAGGAATCATTGAAGATTTGCAAGGCAAGCTTTACATTCTGCCTTTCAATATTCGACGGGTAAAGGGCTTTTCTCGATAGCCCATAGCCATATTTCAACAGCTGGTCACATTCTTTGCTGTGAAGGTCCCTGATTGTCGAAAATGACGCTGTTTGCATGCACTCTGACTGTGCCGCATTTGTTTGCATCTCAGGGAAGTAGGAGCAAACTTGGTCATTCTTCTGGTGGATCCAGTTGTTTCGTATGCATTTTAGTATGTGTACCGGGTCTATAACGAAAAACAGTGGCCTTGCAGGGTCTGATGGGTGTTGATATACAATTCTGTTAGAAGCGGGCTATTCGAAGTGGGATATTGCTTTTCTGTTCACAGAGTTGTTGTCACTCACGACGCACACAACGTGGTACCCAATCTTTTCCAGCCCGCAAATGACATCTTTCAGCATCTTGTGCAGGAACTCCGCGCCTAGTCTGTGCACTGGCACGATGTGCGCAATTTTCTTTGAATTTGCACTTCAAGCTGCGCCCCATGAAAACGAGCGCACAGTTTGGAGCTTCATTTGAGTTAAGCTCAACTCCGGTAATATTACCCCCTTTGTATTCAAAGTAAGGTTTGATGCGTATTTCGTCTACCATTACGGTGACGATGTGCTGGTCATCTTTGAGGTCAGAAATTCTTCTCGCCATGTAACTGAGGAATGCTTCGCTCTGATGCTCTTGTTGAGGGCTCATGCCATACGAGGAGCATACCGATCTGATCGTCATGGGATGCGGCAAAGTGACGCTTCCATGGCTACGTATACAAGCGTACGCATGGGGCGATCTGCAGAGTAGCGTCTGCGCTGTTTTCGCTTGGAACAAGCTTACTTGCTCTTGCAGAAATCTAATGGAGTCGGCGTCATCTTCTGCGTGGGACATGGACAACTGATCCAGCTGTAGGCAAATAGCCTCGCAAATTTCCTTGACTGAGTTGGAAATCAGGTCCCCGTCCCACTTCTCAATGCCTCCGAGGAGTTCTACTATACCCTTCTTACTGTCAGCAATTTCTGGAACGACCAGATTTGCACCTAACTTTTTTACCGCCGTTTTCATGACATGTAGCGTCACGCTCGTGTCTCCTTTTATGCAGACAGAGTACTTCGGCCACGGGGCCTCATCGTCGACGATGTGGATAATAACAAGCCTTTCGTCCTTTTCTATTATGTTCCAAAACTTCATCTCCTTGCTCCGTAAGTGTCCGATTAGTTCTCCTAAAGAATGGACTTTGTTCTCTTAATGTGCCTTGTTAAACATCTCCTCGGACTCCGCGATAGCTTTTTGCATAGCAGCATACTCCTTGCGTGCCCGCTTGGAGTCGGGATCTTCTCTTCTTTTGGCTTCCCTAGACAGGTAGGTCGGGCAACTAGGGAACTTCGACGGTACAGCGTCAGGGCGAAGACGGACATGGGATAAGAGCACTGTGATGGTGCGGCCAGTACTTTCATCGGTATGTGATGCTTCTCGGATGATGTCCTCATGTTCGAAGTGAAGTTCGCATACCTAGAAAGGAATTTTGCGTCCAATGAACAAACCAATGGGTATTTGACATAAAGTGCGGATTGCGAGCCACATTTATACGAATGTATACATATATTGAATTTCCATTTGCAATGAAACAATTCTCTACCAAAAAGAAAGCTTACCCTTGAATTCTCGGTGACGGAGAGGTCTTCCCGCGGCACAGCGCATATCCATGCGTCCCTCAGTGTTTCATCCTTTGGGAACTTGAACACGTGCACTTTGGTGTCCACGGTGTAGTTTCCGCGGCATCGCGGCACACAGCACTTGTACGGCATCTCACCGTCGCTCTTTTCACATTTCTCAAGCTTGCGGAGACACGAAAAAACTCACAGCGACGCGCAAAACACGAGAATTTTGACAAAACAGATATGCACGTCGAAAAAGACACTCGGAAGCAGGCCGATTCTGCGGGGGACTGGTAGAGCTCACTGTTCAGCCGCACCTGCAATGGGGCGACATGCCTGGACAGGTCTGGACCCGTCGAGCCGCCTCTCGCAGCCGCCCCATTAGCTGACGTAGTAAGAGTGGAAAGGGGGCAGAACCGAGGCTTTCTCTCTTTCCAGTTGGTGTTGGGCTGGCGCCGTTATCTAGTGTCGCACAGGGAAGCCTGCTCGCTGCGCTGGTCGGTCGGCGCGGTCGGCGGGCTGTTTCATAAACCGCACTATAACCGGTATTTCCATTCGCGCGCCTGCATTTTAAGCGGTATGTAATTACATGGAGTTCTATGTGAGGCGAACCGGTGGTTTAAAAAAGCTGCGTTATACCCGGTCCTGCATTATAAGCGGTTACGTTGTAAGTGGTCTATACTGTACTTGGACGAGTCATCTCACTGTGACATATGAATGTTGACTGTAAAGTTGCCTGAATAACACTTTCAAGTAGAAGTGAGCCAGGATATAAACGCTTATCCCAGGAGGATTGATATGCAGCTGTCAAGCTTGTACGTTCAACCTTCATGCTTCATATTAAAGCGGTAGCTTTATAGGGCCTACCAACATCAGGAGCGGCATAGCACAAAATCTGTAGGTTGGTCGGTCCATAACCGCTAAACGATCTTGAAAACAAATGGCTTCCGGTGCCAGGGATTGAACCCCAGTCACCGGCGTGGAAGCCAAGTGTGCTGCTGACTGAGCTAAGGGCCCAGCATGCAGGAACAGGAGGAGCAGAACCAGGTGATGTGAGAAAGCGCATGGAGAGGGTTGAAAAATGCAAGAAAGAGAGGAGCAGAAACAGACAGTAGGTGTAGAAAGAGCTTGCAGAACAAGGCGTGGAAACGGCAGTAGAGTGCACTTCCCCTCTCGGTGACGCAGAATATTCAGAGCAAAGGTTTCGTATCCAGGTGACGCTGAAGGGAAGCGCATGCAGCATTGCAGAGACAGTGGTGTGACATAATCTATTTCCATACAAAACTCTGTCATAGGCACCACCCACCCTAAAAAGCTACCGCAGCCAATTTATTTTTGCTGTCATTGCATCTTTTTACAGCGGAGCTGTTAAGGGCTAGGTTCCCCAGGATCGTGTCCGGTATGTCAACACAAACTTACCTGGACAGCTACCGCCATCTGTAAGCGACGGCGGCAAGCACACAACCAGTATGGTTTCCGCCGTCGCTCGTAGATGGCGCCAACCTTTCCAGCTATAATAGAAGAATGGATAGTTGGCCGTGTACGTGGGAATTGATCGTAGGAAACGGCGCGAAAAACAGACGACGGCGAAGAAGAAGCACTCAGTGTATCGAGTACAGCTCCGCTGGTCTTCCTTCTTCACGAGAGTGGAAAGGCTGAACGTTATTTGTGCTAATTTTGAGGACTTCTTTGTGGCACTTACAGACCCAGTGCTGGTGTCCATCTGCCAGGACATCTTCAAGGAGCTCTGCCACAACTCGCTCTGCTGCAGTCAGCTTCAGCAGAGGTTGCTGCCCACAATCATCTCCATCCTGCAGGCTCCGCTGGACAAGATACCCTCCGGCATCCAGTCGGTAAGACCTGCCTTGTTTGGCATCTACCTATATGAGCATATGATTGTGCTTGCAATCCTGAGCTGAGATCACCTGCCAGTAAGAAACCATTGTTGTAAATTGCTTTCTAGACTTAATACAGATGGTGAAATTTTTTTTTTTTTAGTGAAAAGGTTTTTTTTAGGGTAACTTTTGAGGGAGAGACACAATGGCGCATGTGCTGCCGCTGCCACACACCACCATCTCTCGTGCAAGAATGACAGTCACTTGCCGCAATACTCGTAGATTTCATGGCGGACCAGTGGGATTTTCTGCTCCACAAGTGGGACTGTATAGGGTGTTTAATTTTAATTCTAACAGATCTTTGTAAAGAAAGGTGTGAAAAGCACATTAATGCAGTTTCTTCGGGAGAGTTATTTGGCCAGGGGAACATAATTTAGGGGGAAAATCATCATGGTAATTCTGATTGTTTATTAGCTTTTTAATTACTGAAAACATATATATGGCACCAATTAGAAACTTGCTGAGCGGCATCGAAAACCACACAAATCGGTCAATTTTACAATGGCCTAAAGCACGTGGAAAGCATGGGGTTGCGCTAAAATTCCCATTCATGCAATAGGCACGAGGCGGGCGGCAAGAAAACTCTGATCATATTCTTAGCATTAGCTTTTTCACACCGCTAGTCTTGTGTTTGCACAAAGCTACCCAGAGTAAAAGTGTTGTGTATGCCCTTTTCCAAATAAACTTTCTAGTCAGTGCTTGGCCCTTTTTCCTCTCTTCTTTTGTCCTTGTTTCTATTTGCACCATTTATACCATGAGGTATTACATGCTGCAGATTTTCCTCCAGTGAATTTACACATTTAAATTTCTTTTGGGCATTAAAGGATACTTAAAGGGGCCCTCCGGAGCTTTCTCTGATCGTCTGTTTATGTTGTTATATTGCGTAGTAGGTGCAAGTTAATATGCATACAAAGTTTTAGATTGCAAAACTGTTTATTAAACAGATGGCAATAGAAATATATCGGGACTATTTTCTCTTGGAAGAAAATCCCCCATTCCCTGCCCATCGCTAAAAATTGACCAATGGAAATGCTGCATCTCGCGGTGAATGCGAACGTTATTGTTGCAACGCTTTTAAGCTTGTTGTAAATTAGAGTTTGAGAAAAACGTAAACTGATTGTGGTGCGAGAAACATAGTCCGCAATTGTCGCTCCCAAACCAGTGAACTATGTTTTCTCCCCGCAAGCTTGTTGCTAGGGGGTGATGCGTCGGCGTGTCGGCTCGTCTGCTTCCCGGGGCGTCTGCATGCAGGTGTGCGTTTTCGGGACACGTGTTCCTTCTTCCTGTGGATCCCGACTTCGAAGCCAGCTTTGCGATCCTTCCACGTCAACGAGTCAAACTTCTCCTTGTCATCTGTGGAATGCGACTGCGTGTTGCAGTAGCAGCGCGACGGTGCGGTGCGACGACTGCCGAGCTCAAAGTCCGGGCTCCTTGACGACGGTCCGCGCGTGTTCGAGAGATTCCTCCGCAGGTCGGCGGTCGGCCGCGTTGGTGACGCGCAGTGATGCCGGAATCGTTCGCTGGCTATTGGCTGACGCGTAGAGAGATGCCCCTCCTGTTTTCTGGGGTCATCTCAGAAAGGGGGGCGTGCCGGCGACTTTGATAGCAATTTTAATAGGGAAATCAGCCGCGCATAACCGTAATTTTATGATTTTTAGGATCCGTAGGGCCTGTAGATTGAGTTACCGCCATAAATAGACCATCGCAGAACGCTCCGGAGGGCCCCTTTGATGAAAAAGGTGTCGTCTTCCTTCAGGTGTCCTTGGATGTCCTGCAGACCATAGTGAGGAGCAGCTCTCTTCCCCTTTCGGAAGCGCTCGTCAATCAAGCATTTCCCGTCATTGTGCACTGCATTCTGCACACCGACGACAACTCTACTCTACAGGTCAGTGATTTGCTTCAAACGGCGTCTGTAAAAGTTTTTGTAAAACAAAATAGTGCTGGAGCTTCTTCTAGATCGCAACAGCGTGAATGGATTGTAGATATTGTCTTAATATTTGTGTGAATAGTATTATGAATATTGTGAAAAATTGATCATGGGTTTCTCCCGGCTGCGAAAGGTTTGTTCCCACAAATTATTTTAATAAGCAACATCTGGGCTGCAAGCATCGGGTCAGTATGTTATTTTTGTTTGTTGTTCGTTCAGGTATCAAAATATGAACTCGAAAAACAAAATGACAAGAAAAGTTTTATAGGAAAGCACTTTGTGGCAGCGTTTGCTGAAAACTGGGGTGGTCACGTCGTTACGCAAACTTGTCGTATCTCTGATGTGTCGGTTTCACTTTTTCAGCTGTGGAATTCGTAAACCGACCTGAATTTTGAATTTTACCTAACATAAACCTAACTTTACTCCACTCTAAACCTAACCTATCTAACTTGAAATAAACCTAACGTAACTAGCCTAAGCCTGACCTGGGAACCAACTCCTGGTGTTTCTTACTTTGGCAGTACGGCGGAGAGTGCGTACGGGCGTACGTTTCAGTGGCCTTTGATCAGATTGCCGCTTGGAGGGACGATCAGGGCCAGAGTGGACTCTACTATGTCGTCAAGGTATGAGCATTGCTACTGACTGTTTGTTCGCTTGACTGTTTGTGCCACTTCACTGTTTTTCTTTTTGGCACAGAATGTGTTGCATGGGTGGCACCTATAACCATATAGGTTAGGTTCCAGCACAACGGACAGCGCTCGTCTCCTCACTGATTGCACGCATTACCAAAGCACAATGAAAGCCAAAGAGAACTTGCTGGAGGCCGGACGTTCCCATTCGTTCAGTGGCTACAGTATTCCAAATTGCAGCACTTGTAAATAGAAACAAATAACAGTTTTATTAACCCCTTAACCATTTTGAACGAACCTGTTTGTCATTGTGGAGCCATTTCCAAACCGTTCAGGACGAGTATGGCTCGTCTACGTTCCTCGATTCACGCACTCGACCATTTTGGACGAACCAGGCTCACTCATGGTTCGGTTTGAGGTTGTATCAACAGATGACAGCACTGAATTTTGAATTTTGAAGACAACAGTTAAGCAGTTGAAGATTGGAAATTTCCCAAAACTAAAAAGGTCAAAGAGTTAAGTATCTTTCTGTGCATGTTTCGTCTCTCTAGATTGCGCAGCACTTGCTGGATCCCAAGACGCCGGAATCTGCGGCCGTGTTTGTGGGGCGGCTGGTGTCCGTGCTGATCACTAAGGCGGGACCATCGCTGGGCGAAGCGACGGACATCCTCCTGAGGGCTGTGCTGAGCAAGCTGCAGCAGACGGAGACTCTCAGTGTCATTCAGGTGCTGACTTCTTTCCCCTCTTCAGGTGCTAACTTCTTCAGCAGCATCAGCTGCAGCTTGCTTTCTCTCTCGAGCAGGAAACAAACACTGAATGGATGGGGGAACGTCAGGCATTTGGGAGTCAGTGTGGGGGAAAAGAGTATGAAAAGCTCTCTGCCGAAAATCATCATGGAGTATTTGTCAACCTGGTAAAGCTGGAATTGTCAGGAAATTTCAAAGCACCTGGAGAAGTTGAAATCTTCAGGAAAATCGTCAGAAACTTGGTTAAGTCAGGAAAAATGGCTGATGTGGGTGGTGTAGCTGTAGGCGGTGTTGTGAGTGTCCTTTCGCATTGAGTAACAGTTGCTCGAGGCATCACTTGGCAGCGTAAAACAGCACCCATTTCACCAGACTAAATAGGAAGAGCCGAAACAGCTGCCGAAAGCCCATACACTGCGTTTTGTTATTTTGTAATGGTCAGGGGATTTAAGCAACATTCATTTAAATTTTATTTATTCTTATTCATGGGAAGAGGGACAGGACAAAAATCTACTCAACGCAGCTTTTTATCAAAGAAAACCTGCAAATGTCTGGGAGTTTTAGAGAAGCAGTTTGGTAGACAACTTGCATTAGTAATGACTTTCATCCTTGTTTTTGATAGGGGCAGCTTTCACACCAATCTTTGGGATGGGACTCTGTGGGAATGTTGTTTCAAGGGAAGGTGCAAAAGTTTAAGCATCAACACATGCTTCATAGATGTTATGTTTTGTGAGTGGATTGAAGAAGAAAGACCTCTTTTCAAGCTATGTTGTGTTCGTATCTTTACTTCATAGCTTTTTAGTTGTTGTCAAGTAGCCTGATATGAAAGGTTTTTGTCTCTTCCTCCACCTTCCTTGTTTTCTCCAGAGCCTGGTGTTGGTGTTTGCACACCTGGTCCACACCCAGATGGGAGCTGTGCTTGAGTTTCTGTCGGGTGTGCCTGGGCCCACCGGCCAGTCGGCGTTGGCCTTTGTCCTGACCGAGTGGTGTTCCAGGCAGACAGTCTTCTATGGAGCCTACGAGAACAAAGTCAGGTGGGGGCTCACACACTTTCTCTCTCTCAAACTTCAGTGGCATCTGATGCAGGCTTCGAACCAAAAATGTTTGTGCTGCCCTAGCAAAGTCACGGTACTGTCTGGCATCCGATGCACACTGCCCCATAACTTTGGGATTCAAGAAAACTGTCGATGTATACCACAAAAAAATTGAGAGGCCTTCCACCGCTTGAAGACGAAAGTCTAGCGAAGCTGGCACTGTGATAGAGACAATGACGTTTTATTATAGCACGGCTATGCCAATCACGGTGCAGGCTCTAGTGCGCCGAACAAATGGCCGCCAAAGAGTGCACGGCATTGCGCAATGTCATGGGGAAGAGAGACGCCGCGCATGGCAAAGAGTAGGCACGACCCGGGAAAGAGGAGGCAGTGGTGGAGAGGAGTATAAAGTGGAACATACATCGTCGCATTTGAAAATCGTTGGTCTACGCTCGGTCCGTCGTCGGAGACGATCCGCCAGAAGCTAGTCAAAACAGCTTCGCTGTAAAACAGTGTGTGAGGGAATGCCGGGCTGTGTGTCACTTCTGCGCACGGTGCCGTTCTTTCAGCCGGGCTGTAGATGAAAGTCGGAAGCAGTAAATACCACGAGCTTTACACAGATCATGGGTTCTCAAACCGGGCTCCTAAGAACATAGGGGGTCTCACGGAGTGCCCTCACGGGCTCCCTGAGCTCCCCAATTTTCTCGACCGTCCCTTCCCTAATTGCTGATTCACACGTCGTACTGATCCGTGGACACGTAACGACACGTGCGCGGTTTGTCCATCTCCAAATCGCATCCACTTGAAGACGATGACGAACAGACGACGGCGAGGACGGACCAAACCTGTTCGCAACACCAAAGTGCCACGAAACTCCGGCGTCGCACTATGGCACTGTTGTCTAAGAGGAAAATCTATGCTTGCTGCTGCAATAAAGAATCGTGCACCGCTGTTACGTATAGAGCGAGAAAGAACACTGTGATGGGCTTACTGCAAAGTGCGACCAGCTTTACTAACTCAAGGCATGACAGTGACACGGGCGCGGTCCTGCTCGAGAGAGCTTCAGCATAGAAGCGACAAGGTCCTGTGCTCGCATAGGGGCGTTCGGAGACGCCTTTGTGATCTGCATTCTGCGCTCGTGCGCTACACTTCAGTACGCCACTGCCACAAGAAAGGTCTCGCTGGGTGAAAGTCTGATTGGATGTGCAAAAACGATTGCGGCGTGCTAGACGAGTTTCGACAAAATCTTTTTGACATGGACCTGGAGGAGTATCGGAACCTGAGTCAGCCTTCACGCATGGAACCAAAAATTGCGTGACAAAATGAACCAGTGAACGCACAAAACACAATGATGTGCCATTTTTGTTTTAATCGTGCAAAACAAGAAACAAAGAAAACTGTTGCCAGGCAATGCTTTTCAAGTCAATCACCCTACAAGAAATCCGCAAGTGAAAAGGCGCTCGGGCATTTCACTTGGCTCGTCCGTGGACGAGGCTTGGATTGCGGGAATCGGCAATGTGGCGGTCACATGGTACGTGGTCTGCGGACGGAAATCGCGATTTAGTCTGTCGTGTGAATCTGCCATAAGCAAAGCATTTGTTCAGATTAAAGGGGTTATGACACTAAATAAATAATACATAAGATAACTATGGCTGAGGAACCCACTACCGTAAAATACTGGGGAAGCGCCCACTCAAGATTGAGAGATAATCGCAAAAAAATTGGGAATAAGCGTTTGTCCGGTCATCAATTTTACATATCAATGTACTGTGCTTATTTTCTCAGATCTTACAAATTTGGGTATGGGCACTTAGTGTGGTACGGGGTGGTGCGCGGTATTCTACGGTATGTGTTACCGTATATATTTGCAATATTTGTTTTGTAAACAGCATGCTAGTTTCAGACGTAGTCATTTTTATTGCGGATCCTTGGATCTGCCTATTGAGATATTCAGAGGTCCGTGTCGTGGCCAGCCTCTGCTGCACGCGCGCCCCTAGTAGCGCCGTGGCGTAACCGGCAGAGCTGAGGCTTACATGCTGCATGCGGTCCCAAACTAAGCTCTCTCAGTCCTCTATTCTTGCAAATGTTTTTGCACTACTGGCTGGGTTTCCTTTCTTCTTGACATTTAACACGTACAACCGGCGATGATTGCGGTGTAGAAAGAGAGACGTGGAGAGGAGCAGGTGCTAGACGCTAAGCGGCAGGGCGGCAGGCTCTGTGCTCGCAAGAGTGCCTAGGCAAAGAGAGTCGCCGAGCGTGGCGAGCCTGAGTCAGTATCCCGTGACCCATAGACTCCACGATGTGACTATTGGAAGCAGGGATAGAGTCTAGTTACGTCATATTTTGTCAGGGTTGCCTGATCATTTGTTACAAATGATCAACATCAGAGAATTAATTTTTGCAATTACTAGAGCTCCAAAATTCGTGAAACTTGTTGTAAACACTATATGACACATGTAGGCCTCATATCTACCTCCCAAAATATTCATGTTATAACACGTTTAAGCACTACTATCTTGGCAGGCTTGAGCTGCCCTTTGACGTATAAATACTGGATGAGCCAAACACTCTTTAGTGGTTTGCATTAGTGTTTGCAAGGTCTCTAGGGTTCTGCACTGCTTCCCAGCATCAACACGGAGGCTGGGAGGGGTTGTTGCAGCTCTCCATACTGCTTCATACTCGGGTAGCCAATAATCTTTTGTGTTTTCCTTCATTGCAAATGTGCCTGGGCACTTCTCTGTCAATTCGAATATGTTTTGTGAGCGTGGACACGGCAGAGTGTGAAAACGCGTGTACAGTGGCACTTGCCTTTCTTTGTGGTTGGTTGAGAGTGACAGCTGACTGACGTCCTTGCATCTTCCATTCCCTTTGGTAGCATTCTGGCCTTATGCAAATTGTTGGAGCACGGCATCCAGAGTAACGACTCGAGGCTAGTGGACATCAGTGTCAAGGGAGATCGCATCATCAACATGAACGAGGGCATTCGGACGCGGTCCAAAGGGGCAGCAAGTAAGTTTATTCTTGTACTGATTCTTCTTCACAGATTCATTTGCTTTAGACACTGTTATTTTGTGTGTGTGTGTGTCTTGAAAGGAGGTTTTGAGTAGCTTTGTTTGTGCTAAGCAGGCAAAAGCAGCATTAATGCATCTGGACACGCCCAAATAAGGCATTTCTTTGCTGTTTTATATGGTTGCTTGGTGACATTTACTTTTGGCCATTTTTAGTTTTTGGTGTTCGGTTACTTTTGCATTTTTGCCTGCTTGTGTTTTGTTACACATCACCTAATTATGTCTCAATTATGGATGACGTGGCTATAAAGTTGCAATTATGTTCCCCCTTTCTGGTGATGATTTAGGATGTTCTATGTTTTTTTTTTTTTTGGGCCGCACTTTTTATTTAAGAAGTGACAACAATAATAATAATAGCAGTAACAATGTTTATTACTAGTAGTGACATGCATCCGCTCTCCCCTGTAATGCCCTTTGTCCCAGAGACTGTATAATAAATGCGATTAAACTGATGCACACTATTTACCTTTCTTAGACTTAATTCCTTGGCAAGGATCTTTTCCTTTACTTTTGATGCTTGGAATGTTTCAAATTCTTGGTTGAGACTTCAAAGTGCTGCGTGTCAAAGCTTCCTCAGCTAAATTTTTTTCACTTTGCTGTTGATTGCAGACCCCGAGCAGTGGACAGAGATACCGGTCATGGTGAAGATTTACAAGCTGATGATTCACGAACTGAGCAATTGCCTGGACAATTCCATGCTCCACAGGGATCAGGACGAAGAGTCTGAGGTTTGTTTTTGCGTGGCATCGCACCTTGTTGTGCGCCTTCTATTCATGCTCATCTGCAGTGCAATTTGGTCGCGTTGAGCGCCTACATGAGCTGTTTCTTATTTTGTGAAAGGACGAAGATTGGGAAGATGAAAATGACATGGAGGGCGACAATGGGATCATGAGCCATTTTGTGCCAGCATCTGACTTTGCAGGTGGGTTGTCGAGCCTTCCTAGATTTTAACACAGAATGTGTTTTATCAGTCATTTTCTATGAGAAGATTATCATGAACGAGCGTCATGGACGAGTGACACGCTGGGAGGGTTGCTGGATGTTGAGGTTACATACAAGGCTTACAGAGGCCCATGTAAAATCAACATAAGATGCCCCAATAGGCCTAGAACCTGGGTCGCTGTTGTGGCATTCGGATACTATAGTCAATGAGCTGCATGGCACAGCTACTCTGGAAGCATTGCACTCATGTGCCGGCGAGAGCGGCATGGGGAGTGCCGCTCTCGCCACGGGAGGCAAAACGGACATCCTGGGGGGCAAAATGTGCCGGCAAGAGCGGCACGTTTTGAATGGAAATAATAAAATAAAGTAGTACATAAAATATACTAAAATAGGTGATAAAATAACAAATATATATTTAAAAAAAATTTATACTAAAGGCAAAAGTGTGACATTGCACCAATTGCACCATTTTGATACAAACCCAATTTTCTGCGCTGTGCCAAAAACGCGAAATCAGTCAAAATTGCGTCGCACTGCGCCAAAAGTAACTCAAAAACTGAAAAAAAAAAGTGTGGCAATGCTAGATTTAGTGGGAAACGAGAGCTTGGTTGGCAACATTCAATCTCGTCGTAGTAAAGTACACGGCACGAGTACAGAGTGGCGCAAGCAACCGACTGATTCGAAGATTTCAGCTGTAGTACCCTTCTATACCTATGATACGTGGTCTTTTCCCGATTTTCGTACTACTTTCCACAGTCATTTGTGACCAAGGAGGATAGAAGGGTAGGAGAGGGCATGACGTCAGCCGCATAGTCTACACAAGCCATGCTCCCTTGACGCCTCGCCTCTTTTTCATTTTCCTCCTTACTCTCCTCACTTATCAGCCCAACATGACCACATCACGTGATTGTAGCTAGCCTTCGTCTAGCCTTCGATCTGATAAAACCTACCAGACGGAGAGCGCGCGCAAGCCTGCAAGGAATCCTTCTACAATCAACCATCCATCTCGCATGTGACATGTCACGCGCACCAATCGCCAGAGAGATCTGCGGTCACGTTGGGCACAACATCGTTTAAATTTTTTATGACTAGGCTTCACCAATATTGCAACGTGCCCCCTCCTAATACTTATAACCTCCTTGTTTGTGACTGCATGCTACCGGTGCGCTGTTACGGTGGCTAGGAGGGGGAGGTGTCAGAATCGCCTAGCCCGCGCCGTGCAAGGAGGCGCGCTAGTATTTCATGACGACGAGAGGTGGCGCGCGCATCGACACTGAGGCGCTCGCGCGAGCCGGACAAGGCACTGTGGGCAAAGGCTTGTTCAATTTGTTCGCTCCACACTTTACTCCCAGTGCTCGTTTTATTGGGGGGGGGGCTTCAGATATGTCGCCCCATGCGTCCAGACCACAGCGATGGCAAAACATCAAACACACTGCTTTGCTCCCGGATGCACCACAGGGTACGTTTCCGCCAAAAAGAAAGGGAAGAAAGCCTCCCTCTTTGCCTTTCCCGGCGACGATGAACGCCGTCGGGCTTGGCAGCATTCAATCCCGCGAGCTGACAAGCCTCTTGAGAAAACCTCCGTAGTCTGTGAAGCTCATTTTGATGAGAGATTCATAGTTCGCAACTACACGCACGTCATAAACGGCGAGACGGTGGAAATTCCCTGTGGTCGCCCTTGCCTGACAGCCGATGCAATCCCAACTTTGTTTCCGAACATCCCTGCGTACCTGTCGAAGAAACTGCCGCGAAAGAGGCAGTCGGTGACGTCCAATGGCGGCGTGCCACGAAAGCAAAAGAGGGACGACGTCATTCGTGAAGACGAGCACATTGTTGTAGCTAACATCACACCAGTGACGCAGCTCAGCACCAAAGAAAATTTGGAGAGCATGAAAGAAGAAGATATTCCAAGCAAATACTGGGCAAAGCACGCGATCCCGGAAGCACCGAACGTCGTAGCATTTTCGGTGTTTGCACCAAATGATGAAGCTCTCTGCTTTCAGAAGCTGCTTTTGTGCTCTACTAGCGAGACAAGTATCCACTGCACCGCATACGTACAGGGATCACTGGTGACAACTGTGGATGTCGACAGCGCTGATGCTATGAAGGACCTGCTTTCGGAGATGGATACCCTTGTTCCTTGTGAAGGGTTTGAGATAATGACGGGCATTGACATGATGCAAACAAAAACAAAGCACAAGATATATGCTGGCAAGTTTCACAGTGTGAAATGTGGTTGAGTTTCGCAAAATGAAAAGCGATGCCTGCAATGCAAATATCTATGCAGGTTGCTCTTGAACGATGCTTCTTACAAGCGCACAAGAGCAAAACAGACCCGTGTTGAGGCATCACGAAAGGTGATTAGAAAAAATGCGCAACTTCGACGTCAGAAGCGCAACATCGCAAACCTGAAGAAAGATGTTGAAAGGATGAAGACTGAGAACGAGTCTACCAGTACCGCTAGTTTTGAGCGGAAGATAGAAGGCCTGTCCAAAAAGCAGCAGCTGCAAATACGGGCATGCTTTGAAGCTTCAACGAGGAAGGGGACCAACGGTATGAAGTTTGATCAAGAATGGATACTTGAGTGCATTGTCATGCACATGAAGAGCCCTCGACTCTACCAGCATATTCGAACACACAAGCTCATGGTAGTCCCAAGCCCTTTGTGCCTACGGACATATGTCAAAACCTACAAAAGCAGCTTTGGTTTCAATGAAAAAGTGTTTGCAGCAATAGCCGAGAAGTCAAAGGACATCGATCTATACCGGCAACACGGAGGGATTCTTGTTGATGAAATGAAACTTTCAGAAAGCCTGATGTTCAACAAAAAAGGACTCGTCGATGGATTTGTGGACCTCGGCAGCTACAGCTCTGCGGGTCAAAAAGGTGTCACTTGCGACCATGGGCTTGTGGTTCTGTTTCAGCCGTTCACAGGCAAATGGCGCGGATCCTCGGGGTCTTTGGCGCACGAGGTAATGTGAAGGCAGATGTGCTGTCCAGAATCGTTGTGGATGCTGTGATTTCTGCGGAGAAGTCTGAACTTTTTGTTGATTTCATCACATGCGATGGCGCCTCCTGGAACAGGAGTATGTGGAAAATGTTTGGTATCACCGGGAAGCTCACGAAGACAGTCTGTAAAGTTCAACATCCAGTGGACCCGAGCCAGTATTTACACTTCATTTCAGATTCCCGCACCTTGTAAAATGTGCACGGAACTCTATATCTTCAACAGGGCTTCAGACTCCAGATGGACGAGTGAGCAGCGAATTCGTAAAAGAAGCATGGAAGTGCGACAGTGCAAGTACTGTGCCTCTCAAAGCAATGCCGCACGTAACAATGACTGTTTTTCAGCCAAATGGATTCGAGAAGATGCGAGTGAATCTCGCATTTAGATTCTTCAGTGACGAGGTACTGAGGGGCCTTTATGTATACAGACATGAAGTGGAGAGCCGTTATGGACCTGGGAGCCCAGTGGCCACTTCATTGTTTGTCGCTATGCTGATGGACCTCATCGCTTCCATGACTTCAAGGCACCGCCGAACTGGTTTGAGACCAGAGACGGAACAAGTTAATCACATCAAGAGGTTTCAACAATACCTTGACATCTGGGAAGCCACTGTGTTAAAGCTGGGGTTTTTGAGTCAAGCTACAGCTGAAGGCTTTTGGGTGACTCTTGCCAGCACACTCTCGCTCCTGACATACGTGACAAAGACCTTGGGATTCAAGTATTGATGACCACACGTCTCAGTCAGGACTCTATCGAGAACCTGTTCGGCATCTTGAGACAGATGTCAGGCTGCAACGATCACCCCACGCCGATGCAGTTCTTGATTTCAGTGAACTGCCTGAGCTTTTACAGCTTAGCCCGGTCACCTACAAGCGGCAACATTTCACAAGGACTCTTAAACAGCCTTCTTGATCCTCGCAGCAACTCTGACCCGGCGGAACTGCAAAACAAGCTGGACGATCTCTTGGATGTGGGCTACTTGAACGAGGCTCATGAGATGATATAAGCATGTAGTGGATTGCCAGAGCACGGTGACATGGTTGCATCAAAAAGCGACTCTCCGATAACCTACTATGTTAGTGGCTATGTCGCCCGCAAAATGCTGAAGAAAACCAAGTGCGAAGAGTGTTCGAGGTTGCTTCTTCAGCCCAAGGATTCGCCCTCGCTCCCAGGAGAGTCGTGCTTGACGAAGTACATGGACAGGGGAGGCCTTCTTTACCCGTCCCAGGCACTCAAGGACCTAGTTGAAACAATGGAAGATGGATTCACATACTGTTTCACCTTCAATAAGTTGAGGGCGAACAGCATAAGGGACCTCATCTCCTGCCTCTCCAAAAACAGACTGAACTTGGTTGGCTGCGCAGAGCACTCTGTTGAAGTGACAAATCAAGTTATTCGTTTCTTCGTGCTGACTAGAATGCATTTCCTTGTTGCAGTTCAGAATGCGTCCAGACAAGGCAAGAGGGACAAGATGAAGTACCTCAAGCTGAGGCACACAACGTGATTTCCGTTTCTGGTTACCGTCCAAAATACTTTCTGTACATTGTTTTTTTTTTGTTTTTTGTTTTTTAGTATCGGTTGTTTTGTAAATAAGTGAGAACACAGGTTTGAATATTCAAATGAAGGTGTTCTTTCTATTTGTTAAAAGGTGTCAGATATGGGCCCTTGCGGCCCATATCTACCAGGCGTGAAACTTCATTGATTAATCGAGTGTTCTTCCCCCACCCCCCCCTCCCCCCTTTCAAGTGCGAATGTTGACGATCTCAACGAACCATGCCCATTTCTTGTCAAGCACCAGACAACCCAACACTACTAGCCGACCTATACACGTTCACTAGAGCCCAGAAATAAATAAAACATAAAATGCGTAAGTTGTGCTCGTTGCATCCTGCGCGGGCTTCCTTCATTTGATGATCATGAGCCAACCAGCCGAACTGAATAGTGTAAAACATTTCGCGTCTCCATGTTTTCGAGAATCGTGCAGAGAGACATATTCATGACCAATTAATTTCGCGAATTCTGGAGGACGCAATTCAGGGCTTCTAGAGGCCGGTATTTTCGCGTGCCCCTAAATTTTGCAAATTTTTTAATTTGTGAAATTCGCAAAAATGAGGGCCTTGCGAAAAAAAAAAAAAAAAGGTTTTACAGTAGTTTCTCTTGTTGATAACGCTTCAGCGTACCGAGAGCCTTGGGCTCTCGGTACGCTGAACTGCGGGACTGCAGGACAAGTAGGGGGCTCCGAGATGTGGTAGTAACTCAAGAGCTGGGGATGTCATGGATGAAACAATGCATGTGGCCACTCAACGTCTATACAGGAGAGGGCGCTGTGGTCAAATGTGTATATAATCGCGGTAAACTTTGCATGCATTGGCTAATGAAGTCAAAATGCAACCCGGAACTCAGCACTACCTATGAGCAATAAAAATAAAAAAAATCAGCACCATCAGCACTACCTATAAACAAAATCAGTATCATCAGCACCACCAGAGCTTTGCCCCAATCAACATCATTCACCACGTGGAGATGCAGTCATTTTTTTATTGGAGCTGAATGCTAGTGCAGCTATACTGAATAACTCCAAATTTCAGTTTGTCTTTTCTGAGTGTCAGAGCATCTCCAAATATCTGCCAATGTTTTGTAAAAAAAATTGTTGGCACAAAATATGTATTAAAGCCGATTTCCAAGTCATCATGAAACATTGTAACGAAAATATAGCATGTCCAGTTGTCCTTGAAAAAGACTGTGTCCCCTGGCGGGAATTAAACCACTGACCTCTTGCTCAACCAATCTCTAAACCAATACCCTGTCCCCTGCGCTAAAGGAGCGACTTTGATTAGCCTGGCCATGGTTGCCATATATGTATTTGTGTTGCCGCAAAAGTCGTCCCCTAATGAAGGGGAGCTCAATACACTCCGCACATTCTGTCTCCCAGCTTTACTTGTAGGATTACGACACGTTTAAATTTCTTTCTGACGTCTTTTCAATTACTGCGTATAAACACAGTTCAATTTGGTTCTGATCTTTTTTGCAATTCGCTTGGTAGTTTCAATTTCAGGGGAGTGGTAGATTGTTTTACTTTATGGTCCTCGTACGAGTAAGTCTAAATGAAGCAGCTGATGAAAGTTTTGTATCTTTCCCATTAAGGGAGGGCACTACCCAAAAGGGTTAACTTTAAAACTTTTCGCTTAACATGAATGAAAGTTACAGTATATGCCGGCACTTGCAAGGCAGAATGCAGTGCAAAGTTTCATCTGTGTACATAAACTAGTGATGGACCGAATCTGCCGAACTTCAGAATCGGCAAAGTTCGGCAAATGCCGAACTTTTGAAGGAATGTTCGGCAAAGATTCGGCGAAAATTCGGCAAATGTCTGCGCACACGTGAACGCGACGGGGCCATGGATTGCAAATGGACGCCTAGCAGTCGGGTGGTTACCATCGTGCAGCGTAGTACAACCAGAGGTTACGGCGAGTTGTGGAGTAGGCAACGCGGTAACTGTCCATTTGTGAGCGAGTAAAGTTCTCTTCAACATTTTCTGCATCAAGAATAAAAAATCAACCAGTAACGTACGCAGTCCACTGTGCAAGTGACAAATGATGCGGTACATTCTGGATAACGTGATTTTCCTTTGACATTTTAAGTCATGCAACGAGGTAGTTGAAACATTGGCCGACAATTACTTTAAATCACAAATCGCAAATATAGCAATTCTGTTTTCATCTCAGAAGTAGTGTGTGCCAAGACAAAATAGCATTGTTTTCTCAATTAGCGTTATTTCGCAATTTTCATGTTCTTGCATAAAACTAAACACAGAATATAATGCTCGACGTTGCACATCCAACAAACACGTAGCCAGGGGGGGGGGGAGGGGGGGGGGGGCATGAGGCCCCCCCCCCCCCCCCCCTCGAAATCTTTCATTTTGCTGGGACCTCTCCCTTTCCCTCATACAGCATGCCCCCCCCCCCCCCCGAAACAAAATCCTGGCTACGTGCCTGATCCGACATGCCTAGCTCTCCCTATCTTCCTAAACGTTTGTGTGTGTCCTAACACCAGAAACCGGTATATTAAAGGTTAAAAATGAGTCGTCGTGTTAACAATGTACACAGACATGCAGGCTTGCACTAATAATGCCTCAAAACCGAAACTCTTGTAGCGTGATTCGTGACTGCGCCACTGCGCGACGGATGCTCGTTTCCACCCAACCTCGTTGTCACGCCACTTCTGCAAGGAATCATTAAAATTGCCAGTGAACACAAAAAAATGAAACCGATACAATTACCTTGTAGAATGTCACCTTATTTAGTAATAACTGGGTCAGTATGCATTACATGTATATAAGTTAAGAAAAAAAAAAAAAAACCTTTTTTTGCCAAGAAAAACTAAATGTCGACATGAAGTCTGGTAACAATGTATTCCTGCCGAATCTTTAGAAAAGTTCAACGAGAATTCGGCTTTGCCGAATCTCAAGATTCGGCGCCGAACTTTCGATTCGGCAAAAGTTTGGCCCATCACTAACATAAGCTGTAAAAGAGATTATAGTCTTTTTTATCAGGAACGCACTGACATTGTTTAGGAAAACTATTGTTTGAAAACTAATGTAATATCCAACATTTTTCTTCACTAGACATGCTGCAGAATGCCTGGAGAGTGCAGCTGTGAAAACGAAATTGACGAAAAGTAATTTATCGCAGTTGAAAATTCCCAATAGATTCCAATTGGAATTTCCAATTGGTACCAGCTAGGTTTTGGGACAACCAATTGGTCACTGCAATGGGAACCGATTGGAACCCATTAAGATTCCAACTGGAAACTTTTTTCCAATTGGTGAGACCCATTGGCCAGTGTGCTTCCAATTGGAACCCACTAAAACCAATTGGTTCCAATTAAAACCAGTTGGAATTCCAATTGGATCTAATGGGAATTTTCAGCTTGGATATTATGCTAACACCGGGCTGAAAAACAAAATAAATTTGTTTGCCTTTTTTGTTGTTGACAAAATCTTGACATCTTTTATAAAAGACATCCACAAACTAAAAAAAAACAATGCCGCAGTTGCATTGCCCATTAAATTCCAGTTGTGAAAAACAATGAGTGAGCCTTTCCTTTTGTCCCGTTACCAAACGATAGTTCTCCTCAATTGAAATTTATGCCAAAATGTAGAATGGAGAAAAACACGTTTGATATGCTCGAACCTCTACCTTCAGTAATGGTGGACGGAAAATAATTTATAAAAAAATACTTGTACGGTGTAAACAAATGAAATGTTCAGCAAATACTCTTTAGATGTTGGTGGATGTAAATATGGCATTATCCAAGATGACTATTTGCTGAATATTTTTTTCCGGGTAGTGCCCCCATTATTAAACATAGAATAATTTCGTAGGATTGAAAGCCATGGTAGCACCGTGTTCATCAGCCCGAAATCTTGTTCCTCCTTGCACGATCGTCGGCGTCCAGGGTTTGACCTGGACGCCCAAGAAGAAGAGGAAGACCCTGATGCTCTGGCAGACCCCATCTCCAGCATGAACCTGCAGTCCTGCCTGGTGCAGTTCCTCCGGGGCCTCTCGCAACAGCCCTTCTACTCCACCTTCTCAGAGCACCACACGCCGCAGGAACTCCAAGTGCTCCAGAATGCGGGAGTGCTCGCCTGATGCCCTTCCCCGCCCCCCCTCCCCCTTCCGTGCTTCGTCATCTCGAGGGCACAAGTGACGTGCAGCGGATGGCAACTGGGCGTAGCGAACGTGGTCGCCAACAGGTTGAGAACGGCAGGGCGCATCCTTCAGACGCCCAGCCTCCGGTATGTGCTCCGAGCTTTCCACAGTGCTTTGGCTGTGCGAGCGTGCCTGAGGTGCACGAGACACCGAAGCATTGTTGAAGGCAGGAAGCCTGCGCTGGAGGCGGGACGACCGAAGTTTCTCTCTGCCGTTCATCTTGTCGGTGTCTATAGAAGACTGACCATTGGCCCTTTTAACGAAGGCTGCGGCTTTGGGAGCATCGAGACTTTCTAGAAAATGTTTGGTATGAACATTTGGATGTTGTTGCCTACGGGTTCGAAGAATGACGGCACCTTTTTTTGGTGTCCACCCCGCCTCTAGCAAACTCTTACTTAGGTCACTCAGTAAGTTGTATTTCCGAACGTTCGAGGGTATTCCGGGTTAAGGAATAACTCGGTATTTATTGTAGCGGTCATTTCTGAAGTCGCCGCGACTTCGGTCCCAAACGGTTTAGTTTCTAGGGAATGAAGTTTGACTTTCCTTTATTTCATATGATTAGAAATTGTGGTTTTTATAGCTCTTTGTCCTTGGTAAATTTCTGCTTTTATAAGAAGTTTTAGAGTTGCCAAGTGGCAAAGGATCTCCAGTGGGTGCCAGTTTTGGCTAAATGGGAGTCTCCCCTCCCCACGGGCCCCTGTGCTCAAGAAGTCTTATATATACTTGAACAACGAAAAGATTTCGCTCGGAGCAGAAAATTGCTGTTTTTTTGGGTAGTTTGAACAATAGGCAAAAATCGGGAGTCTTGTTCTCGAGGAACGAACCCTTTGAAACTAAGTGGGTTTGGCATGCTGAGTTCAGATATGACTGCATTGAGAAATGCAACCCTATTTCTTTCTTTGCAGCTGTATGTCTGTTCAGGCCAATAACTTGCTGAGCATACCTTTGATGCTTCATCTGTCGAGCAGCATTCAAAGTAACGAGACCCCAAAGATGCTTTGAAAATAGCAAATATGCATTTTTGACTTGATTGTTAAACACACTGTGCCATTGATCTAAAGCTGTCAATGACTGTAGTTGGGCTCATGACCTTGTTGTAACTTGTTTCCTTGCTACTTGGTGTTAAAACAGGCTCTCCTTAATTTGCCGGTATCCCAGCAGCTAAAATTAAAACAGTGCGCATCTTGGTGATGTGAATTTTTTTTTAGGAATGTGATGTATATGTTTTCGTCTTAATTTTCAAATTGCAGTATATGGACTGCTGAGAATGCAATCTTTTTTGTGCAAAGGCATTCATACTGCTGTAGTCATGTAGTCAACATATAAGCATGGTTTCGAACAAGGTTTGCAATGGTAAAATTTCTTGGCGAGAGGCTTTTTGTGGTCCGACTTCAAGGCTACAAGGTAGATCTTGTCCGTTGCTTTTTTTTTGTCAGCCAGATTTGTTCAAGAGATGGCTAATTTTTTTAATGCTTTCATTTGCCTACACTGGTCTCTGGTGTAGTTGGTATTGTAAGACACTAGACGAAAAACTTCATTGTACCGCTGCACTAAACAAAGGATTGCAACAAGTCAAATACTAGTACATTACTTGAGTTCTAGCATTTCTGTTGCTCTTTTTATATTGTAGTTTTGCATTCTGGTTGCATCACAGCAGGGGTGTCGAAAGTGTTTGGGATGAGGGGGAGGGCAATGGGATAGAGGAGGAAGGTTGCCCTCTCCTTGCTTGAATTGTTTATCATAAATGTCCAAAAAAAGCTATCCCCCACCACAAACCATCCCTTCCAACCTACTGTTCCGACACCACTGCATTGTAGCTATGATTCATGTCAGTGTTACTTTGACTACCACTTCAGTAACATGGTCAGCATGGATATGGGGTTGTGATAGGATCATTCAGCATAGGCTACGGCACCACATTTCATGCCACATTGAATGGGGAGCCTGTGTTTTAACTTTAGCCCACACATGCTTCATTCTTGCTGTTTCCTTGAAACTGCACTATGGTGGCCAACATTGAGGCTCTTCATTCTTTGAAAGATCAACGAAAGAGGCAAGAGTTCAAGATTAATTTGTCTTACACTTGCCTACAAGGCATTGCCACAGCTTTTTAGGTTGGTTCGAGTAGAGGAAAAGGAAATAAATATTCTAGTATTACCTACCCTTCTAGAGCACCGTTCCCACGCTTGCATTCGACTATGACCCACTTCGACACAACCAATCCTATTTTTAGGCCTCTTGTAACGGCCCACAACCAGCTGCGCTGCTGCAGAGTCGGTCGTAAGCCATCACGAAAGGCCTAAAAACCGTTTTTTAGCCTGCCCGGTCGCATGAGTCGCAAATGTGTGAACTGACGTTAATTTTTTTTTTTTCTTTTTCCAGCCACTGTATATGTGGATACGCCTGGTGGAACCAATTATTTTAGTATGGTGCTTTTTTCATAAGGTGTAAATAGAGTGGGAGGCGAGAAACTGCTCTTTTTCGTGCTCAACTTGTTTCTGCAGTGGTGTGTTCCTGCACATTGGCTGTTTGCAAGAGGGCACTGTATATAGTTGTGCACAGGAGATGACAGCCAATGAAACCGACAAAACAAATGAAAAGAGATTTTTTCTGCTCCCTGTCGTCTTAAAGAGAGAATTTTTACCCGGAAGATGCGAGCATAGTTTTGTATATAGTACTTGTATTTGTGAGAATCGCTTTGAAAGGTATTTGTCAATATCCCATTTGCAGTTAGACTGGAGTGCCAAAGGCTGCGTTTATGGAGCTTTTTCTCAATGCCTGTGCTTCGTACAGAAAAAAGAAAAAGAAAATGGGGGGAAACATGTAACTGAGTGTTGGAATAAACCATGTCATGTTACTGTTTGTGTGGCACATTTTTGAACAGTGCCATGCGAGTGGCTATTAGACTGGAAACATGAAGAAGAGCTTGGTGCACTTCTGTCATTAGTGTTCCTACTTTGGACAGAGTGGCGCTGTTATATGCACCTACTCTGCAGGCGCTGCATGTTTTTTCGTTGTATTTTTTTTGGCACAATGTGTTTATGGGCTGGATTTAATCGGAAAAAAATGTTACGCTGGAGTGTGACGAAAAAGCACTACATGCAGATTAAGGCAACATAAAGCATACTTAGCCCATAAAAGGCGATGGACGCATAAGCATCCATACAGAAGGCATACTTCGTTATAATTAACCATCCGTAATTGTAATACGAGCAAGGAGGTTATAATGGGCAGGAGGTGGCATCCATATTCTCCATACAGGGTGTTTTTTTTTTTTTTTAAGTTTTACAGATTTGTTAAAAAAACAAACAAAAAAACGTGAAAGCTTCACTTATGCAGGTTGTAGAGGTGTGTTATACGGCCAGGGAAATGATATGGGGCTAATCTTGACGATTAGTCGGCCAATTCAGTAAAATTTGTTCATTAAACGGGCAGTGCAACGGTTTTAATGTTGAAAGAATTGCCAGTTTGCATTTTTTTATATTGTTTATACAAGCCCAAGTGACTAAAAACGCGTCACCTTTCCCCCAAAAACGGCTACTCTGCTGCGTAATCGCAAGAAAAAAACCAATTATTTGCCGATCTGCAGCCGCCGGTGGCGGCTACGGGAACTAAAATGACGGTGTCTCTGGGGGTACGCGGAAGTCAACAAACCCTGTCCCCCTCCGCTGCTACACTCGCCGTCAGCCCCGTGGCGAACCGTCCTTTGTGTCCATCGCTCGCCGCGACCTTCGACGAGGCTAATCCTTTGAAAGTTGACAATCGCGGAGGAAGCGACTGGGGTCTCTGAAGAGAGGGCCCAAGGGGAAACCAGTGAACCTTCAGAGACGTCGCTCGAAAGTCGGCGTGGAGAGTTGAGAGGCACTTCGACCTTCGACTTGTTTCATTTTTTTTTTTTTTTTTAATAAGAACTAGCACTTGCAAGAAAATACGGCTTTCGGTTTTTCGTTCCATATGTGGCGCAGATTAATTTCCGCAGTTACTTGGCCAATGTCTGAAAATCTGACTTTGGCCAACTTGCGATTCCCAAACTTGCGTTGAGTCCACAGAGTTGCTATAATGTACGCGTTGAGCACGACTGAGTGCAGCTGCATCGGCTCCAACAAAACCGTTTTTTCTTTTTTGCCCGTTTTGTTGGAGCCGATGCAGCTGTTGCCCTAGCAATCTTCGCACTCGGTCGTGCTCAACGCAAGAGTGTGAATGGCTCTCACCTGCATAAACCGCATAAAGGTAGCTTTCACGGCTTCTCTTAAACAAACCTGTAAAGGCAGTAGGCGTGGCCACAAAATGTCCACTCAGCCTAGGCCAGTAGAGTGATCCTTTTCCAGTCTTATTTTTTTTTCCTCGTGAGAGCAGTTTACATGACGAGGAAAGTTGCAACATAATGTGCAGCATTAGAAAGCAATAATCAATTAAATATAATAGCACTGTACACACTTCACAAACTTGTTTTTACAGATGTCACGGAATTTGTTCTTGTCAGTTTCATAGACCATGCATGGACAATGAATTCCAGTCTGCAATGGCAAGAGAAAGCGGGGTGTTTTGAAATCTGTTCTGGAGAAGCAAGCCTGAAATTTAGGAGAATTATCAAGGCGCTTGGAAATGTAAGACGGGTCTACTGGCTTTCCCATCTTTAACCACATTCTCGGGTAAAGATGGGCGCCATTTAAATATAGGCAAACAACCGCATTGCCGTAGCAATTCGGTTGAAGCGTGACACGAAATGTGGTCCCATCAGTCCCTCGAGAAATCAAACGATCTCTTTTCTTTTTTTACTACGTTTCCTATTTTGAGGCGACAGCGTAAAGGAGCTTGTGTCGCAGAAAAGCCGGCGTCGGTGGCAGGGTGTAAGATAGACAGGTGGGGAAACGGCCCATAGAAGCCATAGAAGCCTACCGCAGCGCCGTGACCGGATTGTGTACTCGTCTGCTTGCGGGGTACCCCCGATTTGCGACAGATGGTGCTGCGGCGAGAGGAAAAAAAGTCGGAATCGGATTTGCGTGGAACTCTATGGGAGAGTGCGCAAAATAAACCGACAGCACGACAGTCCTCCAATGAAAATCCACGAGAAACCATCTCCGTCAGTTTAGCCGGTCGCCACCGGTCGCCCACCCGGAGTGAGTTCGCGGTGCTCCACATAGATGGCGCCACAGAACAAGAGAAAACCGAGGGGGACACAATTTGGTCGCTCATTTGGCTCTCGTTTCCCCACCTGTCTATCTTACACCCTGGTCGGTGGCGTTGTGACCGGAAAATCCTGATTGGACGATAGGATCGTGACGTCACAACCACCCTACTGAAAAAAAATTAAATGATTTTTTTTTCGGATATGTTTATTGGACACCTTTTTTCACATCAGAACTTATTATTTCATATCAGTTTCATATGCCATATCAGTTACACTAGGCTAGGTGGCGCTAGGTACCGCCCAATTCATGTGCTACAAAATTATATTTATTTACTCCCGCCACTCTGTAGATACATTACGCATACCACTAGCATCAGTTGAACAAATACATTGCACCAACTCATGTTTACAAACAAACCGGAGCGCCCCTAGCGGACGCTACCGGCGCCGCGCATGCGCGATGGGGGTGTGGGCAAAAAGCTCGCCGTCGCCCATAAACAAACCATTGAAATGCGACGTTGTCGGCGTCGGTGTGAGTCCCCCTGCCCTTTTTCGCGTTCGAATTGTTGATTTTACGTCTTCCTGGCGATCTCTGACTACTTGAGCGGTGTTAGCGAAATTACCGAGGCTCGTTACACCGCGAAACGTCGCGTGAATAATGTGACATGTGGCGATTCATTCCGCGTGGACGCCGCAGTATGTGCGATAAAACCTGATTCGCATGATGAGATTTCCCTCACAATTTTCAGTCGCGACGCCGCTCGGGCTGCAAAAGCTTGTACCGTAGCTGAGATAGTCGACGTCGATACTGAAAATCGCAAGTAGAATCGGACTAAGTCAATTAGGCATAGCAAGTCAGTGATGCATGGTCACTCGTTACAATGATCATCTCCTTGTATTTACTGTTTACATCGAGCCTATTTACCAACCTTCAAACTTAAGTCTTTTGAGGCCTGCACTTACTTCGTATAGCAAGTACCGGGCCAACATTTAATCTACGGCCGGCGTCGTCTAAGAGAGCAGACGACAAGCAGAAACGTTTGAAAGAGCAGACGACAGTTCGAACGATCAGGCGGCCGTTTGAGCTTGAAGACGCACTGAACGTAGTCCACAGGTTGTCCGCACAACTTGACTGTTTTCTGGCGTTCATGTTGGAACAAAACAAATAAATCTGATGACCACAAGTGTCCGTGAATTCAACCCAAAGTGCTTCCCGCCCTAGCAATCATTGTCCGACGGCGTCTGCTTTTCCCTTTTCACGGCACATGTCAAGATTCTCGGACGAACCGAGCACGTGAAAACTGACCTTCCAACCTTTCTCGACACTTTTGGTACGGCCCCAGTCGCGGCGTTTCGACGAGAAGGCAGGTTTTTGTCTGGTTCCTTTCAAAACAACGCAGGAATACACGTCTGGCATGGGGACTTCTGCCCAAAGCCCCAGACCGGAAGTGCGACCGACGCGCCACCACCGCGCCGTGACGTCACAGAGATGGCCGCCGCCATGTTGCTGATGCTGATGCGGCCGGTGCGACTCTCGCGCCCTCTATCAGCTAGAAATTTTCTGCCACTCTCTGGGACTGTGAAGACCCGCTGAGCGCGGTTCTCTACCTACGTTTTTGCGGTTTTGCATTCGACGTTTTCTCGCCTCTCTTGAAAGTTTCCACTTAATTTTTTTATGCATGCTGCGTACCCTTTTTGTGTTATCTTCCGCTGTGAGAAATAAGGCTGGTAAGTGCCTGCCATTCAAGCTTTTCTGAAAACGCCTGTGAATGTTCCTGGAAGGAACATTCACAGGAAACGAAGGAGGTGAAGGACGTCGAACGACCCTCGACACGATTTTGCGAACTTTGTTCTCCCCCCTCCCAGAGATAATCCGCGTAGAATCCTCAGTCATCTCCAAAAATAGTTGTCCGGGTTGGGGTGGGAAACGGGTCAGTCGCGTTTGTTTCTTTGCCTTGGTGCGGTTGTGAAAAAAGGAAGCTCTCCCCAAAGCGTGCCCCTAAGCGAAGTCATCTTGGATTCCGTACGGTCGTCAAGATGTGACTGTCGTCGACTGTGACTGTGTTATTTGAGATCTTTCTCAAATAAATTCTTTTCGGATAACGCTGCATCGTGTGGTACGTATGATATATTGTTCCAATGTTACCACTTCCTCAATTGTATGTCCGTGTCCTGTCCATCCGTAAACACGTTATTTGTGAGCGTGAAAAATGCATGCCTTTCGGCCCTCTTCTGTTGCAATTTATTTTTGACAGCAAAGCGCTTTGTCGTTTCACATGCGGCGAATCCTGCGGCGCCGTCAAAGCTTATCGTAAGAAAAAAACAAATAACTAGAACTATACATTCCAGTCACATTCGTTCTGTCGCGCGCGTACCCAACAAAAATAGTTAACAGTTTTTTTTTGTTTTTTTTAAATGTAGCACAATGCTTTCTTAATGTCCTCGGGAAAACACACGTACCATGAAACACAAAATATAGCGGGAAAAGACGAGAATTTAGCCGCCAGCAGCGTTTGAAACTGCGCCTACGCAGGCTGCGCCTATTGAAATCACAGTCCACTCGGTTAGGGTTAGGAGGGACGCCGGTGAGAGTCTAGCCTCTAACTCGGTGACTGGGCTCGAAAACGGTTTGTTGCCTCTGGGGTCGAGTGTTTTTTGGAAAGGTGTATACACATACACGGCACAACAAACATGAATACAACAGCACACCCAATAACTACTTCGGA